GCATGGTTCTGAATGCTGAAAACCACTTAAGATGCATTTCATTTTGCAGTTTTGCCTTCTTTATCCAAGTCTTTTCTTTAGTTTTGGTGCCCACTGAATAATGCCATAGTTTTAAAGACATCCATTACTGGCTCAAAACCAACATCACTGAAATGTCAGCCTCATTTGTTAGCCTGTCAAAAGCCTTGATGATGGGTATTCACAAGAGTGTTCAGAGGTGACGCTAGTACATTTCCAATCTGTGGCTGCAGCACCAAAGCAATCAATCTAACAGCCTGTACAGATATTACATATCAGCACTGTGAGGTGGCAGTTTACAGTAATGGTAAAAAATAAAGGTCTGCCTCGACATTTGGCTAAACCAGGAGAGGCCTCCCATAAAACTCTTCACACGCAGAGGCTTTTCAATGGGATCACCATTGGCCAAGAGCGAGCTTGGCTGGGCCTTGAGCAGTGCCCAGGAAAAACATTTGTCATGATTGAAAAACCAGAGTCCAGCCAGAACATCCCTGCAAGTTGCAGTGCATGGAACAGGGTGGAATTCTCATGACATGTAACAAGAGTTTAGGGTGAATTTCATAAATGTAGAAAAACAAATTTGTCTAAAATAATGCTCATTTTATTTGCTATTTTTAGATTAGCTCTTAGAGCTGAGGTGAAAAGTCTCTCATTTTAAGTCATATTAAGCCAACTCATCCTTTTTCTTTACATTTCAGGAGAAAATGTTTAACTTTTTGGCCCAGATTTAGTCAATACCTAAAATTAACATTTCTGTCAAACTTCAGCTGACTGTTCAGATAAGATTTCATTCACATGATTTTAGGCCAAAATAAATTTAAAATAAAAATAAACCACATAATGACAGGGTGCATGAGTAAGAATGCAGCCTGCAGAGGGCATCCGGTCTGATGCTGTGCATCTGGAAACAACAGTCTGGAAAGATGCAACAATAAATTCAATGCATTCAAACTCTTGCAGTATTAGTCAGTCATTGCTATGATCTTAACTTTCTGTTTGATAAGACAAACCAAAGAAAACCCTACATAATAAAATTATTTAGAGAATGATTAGTGCAACTCTCCTCCATTTCGGTAGCCCATTTCTCTTGCTTTTACCTTCTGCCCATAACTCTCTGCTAATCCCCAAAGGAAGAGACCGGGTAGCATACAACTACTGACCCCGAGAGAGGATGCCATTTGATGAAACACCAGGGGAAGGTCAGTCCTCTGATTGATATTCAACCTCCTCCATCTGAGGGCCCTGAACCAAAACGTCAGTGTCCATCCCCCAGGGTGTAAATTACCATGGTGACATTGACAGATACACAGCGCTGGCGGATTCTGAACTTTCACCGAGGGAATGGAGTGCAAACCAAGGCTGAAGCGTGCAGGACAGAGCAGCGGGTAATCTGTCAGTGAAAGCCCTTTTGACAACCTCACACTGTCACGGTCACATGTACAGACAAGGCTGATGGATGAATACACAGTGGGTGCTTTACCGAGATACTTGGCGATGTGCGATGTAACTGGAGAAGGCATAGAGAGTTCATTTCTACCACCACTCTGTGTTTCTCCACTACATCTCCTCCTCCACTTCCACACACACACACACTATATCTTGCTCACACACAACACTTGCGGGTCACAGATGGTGCTGAAAAGTAAAGTGAGGAGATTTTGACCTTTAGGGGGTGTCTGGAGATGCTTAGCAGACTGAGCAGTGGACTACAGGGAGGCGACCTTTTCAATGTCTGTTCATTCTTTTAGAGAAATCTGCGACATGCCATGCCTATCATGAATCTTCATCTTGTGATTTAATAGGATACAGAAAATGGATAGATGGATATCAGCCACTCATAACAATCGCATAGATACTATATACAGGAATACACTGAGGCCGTCACAGCATACATCACAAAATGCATTGATGATGTCACTTACTGCAAAAATATCACTGTTCGTGCCAACCAGAAGCCATGGATGACAGGTGAGGTTCACAGACAATTGAGGGCTCAGGATACAGCCTTTAAGGCCGGCGACACTACAGGCCTAGCAACAGCAAGAGCCAACCTGTCCCATGGAATCAGGAGGCAAAACATCAATACAAAAGGAAAATATCTGGACACTTCAGCAACACTAGAGATGCACAGAGTCTGGCACGGTATCCAAACCCTCAGAGGCTATAAACCCACACCTCGGAATTGTGACAGAGACATCTCTCTACTAAACAGCCTCAATGACTTCTTTGGCCACTTTGAAACACAGAACACCACACTGGCACAGAAGTCCACCCCTCCCCCAGGCAAACATGCTGTGTGTCTCTCCGCAGCCAGCATGAAGAAGACCTACTCCACCCACGCAAGGCAGCTGGACCAGATAACATACCTGGTCATGTTTTAAAGGACTGTGCCGCGGAGCTCAAGGATGTCCTCAGAGACATCTTTAACATCTCCCTGAGCCAAGCGGTTGTTCCCACATGCTTCAAGGCCGCCACAATAATTCCAATTCCAAAGAAGCCCCACCCAACCAGTTACAATGACTATCGACCTGTAGCACTGACTTCAACCATTATGAAGTGCTTTGAGCGGCTGGTCATGCAGAACGTCAAGTCCATCCTTCCTCCCTCTCATGACCCATTTCAGTTTGCATACAGGTCAAACAGGTCCACAGAGGATGCCATTTCTGCTGCTCTCCATCCAGCCCTCACACGCCTAGATTCAAAGAACTCTTATTTGTGAATGCTGTTCCTAGACTTCCGTTCAGCATTCAACACAATCATTCCCCAGCAGCTTACACAAAAAATTGGACACTTGGGACTCAGAACGTCTCTCTGCAACTGGGTCTTGGACTTTCTAACAGGGAAGCCACAAAATGTGCAGGTCGGCAGCAACATCTCCAAGACCATCACACTGAGCACAGGGGCTCCACAGGGGTGTGTGGTCAGCCCATTGCTCTTCACACTGCTGACCCACGACTGTGTGCCAACCTACAGCACCAACCACATTGTCAAGTTTGTGGATGACACGACTGTAGTTGGCCTCATTACCAGCAATGATGAGGCCAACTATAGGAGCGAGGTGTGCCAACTTCAGTGGTGTAAGGAGAACAACCTCTTCCTCAGTGGGAAGAAGACTAAAGAGAAATCATTGTGGACTTCAGTAGGAAATCTCTAAAGTATCCACCACTGACCATCAACGGTGCTGTAGTGGAGAGAGTGAGCAGTACCAAGTTCCTGAGGATGAACATCTTTGAGGACCTCTCCTGGACCAACAACAACACATCACTGGCCAAGAAAGCTCCACAAACTGAGGAGAGCCAGTGTCCCACCCCCCATCATGCGCTCTTTGTACCAGGACACCATTGAAAGCATCATCACTGGCTGCATCACTGTGTGGTATGAAGGCTGTACTGCCTCCTGCAGAAGGACCCTGCAACGCATAGTGAATACAGCCATCAAGATCATCGGTGCCCCTCTGCCTTCCCTCAAGGACATCTTTAACACCCGCCTCACCCGCAGAGCCATCAGCATTGCTGATGACACCTCCCACCCCGCGCACACCCACTTCAGACTCCTGCCTTCAGGGTGAAGGTATCGGAGTCTTCAGGCCCAGTCCACCAGACTTACAAACAGCTTCATCCTTCCAGGCTGTGAGGATGCTGAACACTGTTCACTACCTCCCCCACCTCTGCCCCCTGCTCCTGGACTGTGACCCACCGCAGAACATAAAAAGACTACCTCTGCTGTTTTGCACAAATCCAGTACATTCCCCCTCCTTGTTATATTACATGTAAATCTGCTGCTGTTGGTCATTTGCACTACTATCCATGTGCATCTCAGTCTCACAACCATCTGACAATCTTATTACTATTATTTGCACTACTGTCACTGATTGCACATGGTTTGAGTCATAACCTATTAGGTTGTACCGTTTAGTTTTATCCTAATCACGTTGACTTAGTTTTCTTATTCTTTTTAGTCTATTTTTACTCTACTTTTATTCTATTTTAGTTTCCTTAATGGTATGGCATTCAATACTAGGTGAGAGAGAAATGGTATTTTGATTTTCTGTATGTCCTGCACATATAGTGAATTGACAATAAAAATCTGTGATCTTTTATCTTTGATCTTGATATTCAGGTTTGTGTGGTCAGTTGGACAAACAAAGAAACTGGGATGGTCACTTTGCAAATGTATTAATCATTTAATGGAGAGGATAATCAGCAGTTAAGTGGATAATGAGAAACCTTTACCTCAAATGCAAATTTTTGTTGTGTTTTTTCTTCTCACTCAAAATGATGTTTTGTTCACCAGCAGTAAATTTGTCATTAAAGGTTTTGCCCTCAACAGCATCAAAGTGTGTTGACATGTTTTTTCATCTGTCTGCATAATTAAACTGTGGATTTAAATCAGCTTGATTCCCCTGGGTGCAGAGCATTGTTATAACAGGCAGGAGTACTTCAACAACACAAAGAGCATCTGAGGCACGTTATGTGCACAGCAGGAGACCGAGGCTGCTCTCACTTCACAACTCTTTCTGTGGCAGTGGACCACGTGGATACTCTCAGATCGTGGCATTCGTGTTTCAAAAAATAAGGATCTCATAAGCTCCGGGGGATTGTTACATGCTCAGTAGGGACAAGACATGGAATGTAGTGCAATAAACCAAAATAACCTCAACGAGGAACAAAAGCGCAGAAAGAGTTATAAGCACAGACTCCTACAGGTAGCCTGTATTTTAATAAAATCATTATAATTTTACCGTATATGCTTCCGTACACGTCCTTCCTCCTCCCTGTCTTTGTGCCTTTGACTGCTGCTTACAAATAAGCAGTGATTTATTAGGCGACTGCTTACGGACAAAAGCGCACGCAAACAAGCGGACAGGCGCAACGACCCGTCACCCTTTGATTCCGTGCGGAGCTAACAAGACGAGATGACAAGTGGAGGAGCGGTTGGTGGCGGTGCTGGCAGCAGAGCTGCGCTCTGTAGGCGAAACCTACCTGTCATCGTAGCAGAAATCTGCGTCCAGCGTGTTCAGATAGAGACCCACAGCCACGGCGGTGCACACAAGCTCCGTGATCATCTCTCACAACCAAAGTGGGTGAGGAGCTGGGATAGAAATGACTGGAATCAGGTCCCCTCTTCTCTCACAAGTCTCTGTGTTATTGTGATCTCAATTCAGCCGCTCGGCAGCACAGCTCTCCAGACAACGCAGGGCATTTCCCATAATATGCAAAGTGTATCAAAGTTTGCCATATTCCCTTTAACCCATTGTACTGACAGACGGGTCAGGGATGTGTGAAGCTACCGCCGGTTTGGCTGGGACCTGGGCGCATATATGCTGCGGTGTGCGCATTTCTCTGCCCTCACACTGGAGAGAGTAGAGCGGGCAGATGCATGTGGTTTTCAGGGAGGGTGCGCATGCGCACAGGGCTCCGCATAGGCAGAATAAGCATGTCATTTAGGAAGTCAGTTATAAATGTATATCAAATGGCACGGCAACATATTATTTTGATTTCAGGGCAACAGAACTGATTGACCTCAGGAAATATGTAAAGCTGAACAGTGATCTTTCGGATTTTTTTTAAACTGTACAACAGGGACATAAATGTGCCTTAAAACAATGTAATCTATTTAACACTTTGTAATCTACACAAACCCCCCGACCCCCCCATGCCAGTTCACTAGTCAACCAAAATGTTATAAAACAATATCCACAAATTCAAAAAATAAATGTATAAATTATAAAATTCAATTACATACAACAGAGGGTAACTTGTTGACCTAATTTAATACAGGAGTCATTAAAATTTGATGACTGTCTAGTCAGTACAGTAACAGTTCATCTGTGAATTATTGTGAGAATAACAGACTATGTAATATTCCCCACTCTGATGTGTGACCTGTATATAAAAGCAGATATTTAGCAAATGTTCAGCAATTGAAAGAAGTTTCTAAAATAAAAGAGCTCAAGAAAAATAAAAGAGTTCAAGAATTTGAATCGGTTGACAAAGCATGACAAAACATTTATGTGATGGTTTTACTGAACTTATTGCATATTTTGATATCTTTTGATAGCTGCCCTAGGTATCACTGTGACTTATTCTATCTATATTTAAAACATATTGATTCTTTTACAATCACCACCCTCCCCTGTCCATGTAGAGGCTGAGGGAGTAGGTGTAACTGATGAATTGTCATGCCTCGCCCTATGGTGCGCATGCTTATGGGCGTCACTTTGGAAACATGCAGCCTTTGCCCCACCAACAACCAGCTGGACCAATGCCTGTCCCACAGTCAGGGCTCTAATAAATCTAGCACAGACCAGTGGGGAAACAAAAACAGATGGTTGGAGAAGGATGTATAAAGCACGAGGGCATTGGCCTGCAATGGGTGAGACAGTGACGAAGCAGAACAAGCTGAGGTTAGAGAGTCATTTGTAATATTGGCTCTGATTCTGAACAAAATTTGCCTTTTGACCTCTTGGAATCTGTTGGACTATTTAACCCTCCTGTTATGTTCGTTTCTCAGGAACAACATTGATGTTCGTGGGTCAATTTGACCCGAAACATAACAGGTGGGTTAAGAAGGGGTTGTGTTTTTGTACCTGAGACTTGCTTCCTCTTTCACAGCATTCTTCACTGTCTAGAGGTAACAAATGACAGTGTGTGTTTGGGTTGTAAGAAGAAACTATGCTTCTGATAATTCATCTACAAGACAATCTCAAAATATGGTCCTCTTGTTGTTGGTTTTATTAAATGATATCAGTTGTACACCAACTTTGTTTCAACATATACCTAAACAATCTGGCAAACACTAAGTGTACAAGATGAATCTTCGCCCTTTCACTATTCCATGGGGACAAGGGCTGCTCTCTCTTGCAGCAGCTGATGCAGGTGATTAAGGGATTAGCTAAGGAAAATCTGGGAGAAATATTCCTGTAGAGTGTATAAATAGGCCCAGGGCAAAACAAACACATTACAGGAGAAGAAGTGTTTACCCTCGCAGACTGATTACCTGCTACATCCTCACTGCGGAGGACTGTAATGAGTATTGCTTGCTTTTTAAGTGTAAACAGGCAGCACTCCTGAATAAAAACATCTCTTTTTGGTTTAGATGCAAGTTTAAATTGCATCTAAAGTGAAGTCTGACGGTTCTGATAAATAGATGATTTGGATTCATTAGTGTTTGTCCCTTTTTAAAATATCTGTTTAGATGTCTTCTGTTTTAGGAAATGACAATCATTTTGTTTTGCTCTTTGACAAGCTTGCATGTTTTGACCAGATTCTTTTTTAGTGAGATTTGTATCTTAGGCCTTTGATTTTAAATGAGTAATAGCTGCAAATATTCTCTGGCTTTAAGGAGACCTCCACCAATTTCAAACAGCCAAGTCTGTTTACAGATCTTAGAGCATGTGTGAAACACATGCTCTAAGATCCTTGCATCAGCATCAGTTGGGGGTGAAGACTACAAGTTTGAAAATGGAAAAATAAATAAATAAATAAAAATCTGGGTTGGGTTGGTAGAAAGAAATTAGCTCCCCACACCTGTGTAGCACACTCCTCATCCCTGCTTGAGGCTCAAGGCTCAAGGCTGCATTAGCCACAAAGCATAGTGCACCTGATTCTCCAATCTAAATGTTGATGGCTGGGTTGCATTATATGTAGTGTTATAGGTGAGTCAACAAACCTCAATTCTGAGTCAGGTCCAAGTCAGCAAAGAATAATCCACACATTTAAGCATCATTACACATCGTGTCGTGCAGTGGTTCCCAACCTAAAGGTCATGACCTTCCCCGTGTATTCCCAAGGTAAATTAGGGGGTCACAAAACATTCCCTAGTTTTTGCATTTTTAAATACTGCTTGCTTTCACCTCTTAAGATAAGATAATCCTTTATTGTCATTGTAACATGTAACAAGAAAATTTTAGAATGGAAAAAAAACATAACATATGAAATAAGACCATATAAAAAACTTAACCGCCAGAACAACAAAATAAACAACAGACCTCTCACACACAGGCATATTATTTTTTAGCAGCACTGAGTGTGGTAACTGCTGTTGATTAAAAGCTATTCTTGAACCTAGTGGGCCTTGATTTGATTGCTCTGAATGTCTACCTGACGGCAACAGTTCAAAGACTGTCCTTAATGATGTTGTGGGCTTTTTTGAGGCAGCAGGAACTGTATAGTTCTTCCAGAATGAGGAGAGGGTAGCCGATAATCTCCTGGGCCATATTAATGACCCTCTGGAGCATTTTCCTCTGAGCCAATGTGCTGCTGCCATACCATATACATATACAGTATGTAAGGATGCTCTCAATGGAGCACTGATAGAAGGACACCAGCAGTCTCTGGGAGATGTTGTTCTTCCTGAGCACCCGTAGGAAGTATAGTCTCTGCTGGGCCTTTTTAAGCAGTCCAGAGGTATTCGCGCCCCAGGTCAGCTCCTCCTCAATATGGACTCCCAGAAAGCAGAAGGCCGGCACCCTCTCCACACAGCCCTTGCTGATGTACATTGGCAAGATGTCGGTTTTCTTCCTCCTGAAGTCGACAATGACCTTAGTCTTTGAGGCATTAAGGAGCAGATTGTTCTCTCTGCACCACACTATGAGCCTCTCCACCTCATCCCTGTAGGTAGTCTCATCCCCCCAGAGATAAGCTCCACCACCACTCTTTTGTCATCTAAAAGCATTCAAAAGAAACAGCCCCTGGCTGTCAGTATATAACAAGCCCTTTAAAATATATATATTTTTAAAATTACTCATATATAATTTATTAGTTCATAAATCGAGTCCAACACACAAAAGGCAATACTGACCAATAAGACAATGTTTTAGAAGAACTCCATTTGCATTGATGCTGCCATTAAGAGATTTCCTGTCCCTTTTGAACCATGCAAAGCGAGTAATGGTATTTTCCATGTGCTATTTACTCCGGAACCACTGCTTGTTTGCCCCAGCAGATAAACATCACACAGGAAACAGATCATCACAGCTGGAAGGGCCAGGCCTCGGCCTTCACAGAAATAGCACACTGATGGTATTAATATCAACACGGAAGCCAAGCAACCTAAAATCAGATCCACCCAGGTCTGTGGGTGTCTCCAGTGGTGTCACCTCCTAATTCTGCTCAGGAAGATCAGAAATATAACTTTGAAAAATATGGGGGTTTGAATTAAGAAGGATATGTTCATGAGTGTTATGTTACATTTGTCCTGTAAAGTCAGTAGGTCGGCCGTGAAAAAACAGCCCATGAAAATATAACACCAAAGTAGATCAAATAAAACACCATGCGCTTTACACATTAAATCATTTTAATGCTTTAACCATAACACGAGGTGGCTCATGATAACCAAGACTATCATCGTTACTGTGTATAATTAATTTGACACACTTTAGGAGGGATGCTAAACTCGAGTGATTCAATTGTGAGGCTTTTCTACTGATACTATATACTTTCTGAGTTAGAACCAACAAGTGAAAATAAATCCAATTTTTACAGCTCAAAGTTTTTAGTTTTTTGCTTTTGTTTTGTTTTACCTCAGCAAAGTCTTTAAAATGAGTGACAGAACAGGACAGTACAAATACTGAGGGGCCTATTCTCTAGGTGTTCTACTTCCTTTTGCTGAATTGTTAGAGACTCAATGACTCTTAAATCAGAGCTCAGGGAAAATAGTAGCAGATTCTGAATTTACAAGTTATCAGATTAAGATATCATTCAAAATATATCAGTTTAATTGCCAAGCAGTTTGGTGGTTTAATAATATAATGTCAGGGGAAATAAAGCATTACATTTGTTTTCCAACTACATTAGAGGTTGGAGCACTACTTTCTAAAAGAAACAAATAATGTTCTCTGGCACTATTCACTTACTTGGCAGATGTTTTAAATTGCTCTAATTCGATTTTAATCTGGACAACATTATAGCAAAATGGGCATGATTAATGGAAAATATGAATCAGGGGACAATTCTTTTTTTTAAAATACGTAATGACGGTGTTTCTCATTGAAAACAACGGTCCGATCTCTGTCGAGCATTGTTGATATTGTTTGAGGCTCCAAGTCAAGCATTTACAAGACTGTTTTCTCTTCCACAGATTTATCTCACAGATATATCTCTGACAGGTGTAAAGTGCATTTTGGTCCATATGCCTTTTCCAAGAATTCAGTGATTTGAGATGATAACAGTGAATTTAATCTAAAAAAAAGCAGTGTGTGCCCAGCACAAGGTCCAGCCAAGTCCCCTCTTCCTCACAAGCAGGGCATCTGGCAGAGAAATGTGTTCTGCTCGTGACTGTAGGGGCATGTTGATGGTAGCCAGAGCATCCTGCATCCCGCTCTCTGATGGCTGCTTGCCCAGAGCAACCCCCCACCCCACCCCCATATTACTTGAGACAATCAAATCTAGACAATAAGAGGATTGTGAACAGAAAGAAGACATTAAGATAATATGATCATGGATATACAAAGTGGATTAATAGAGTGCATATGTGAGCCTGTAACAGACCTGTCAAAGGCTTTTTCAGTGACATTTACCTGATGATTGCTTTAGCTCACTCTCATTTTTCTCCAGCTGTGTTAATGCTTGATAAAGTCTGTCACTTGCAAATTTTACCCTTTGATTAATTTGGGTTCATTAGTTAAAACACAGTCTCCCCATTCACAGGAAAGGGCATTATTTCAGCCTCTAACAAAACACTGACCAGCAGAGAACCAATGATGTAGGCTGAATAAAATGTTGCTCTCTTCCTGTTTTCGAAGTGGGAGGAACCCTGAGATGATTTTCCAAAGCAGGATGGCAGGAATTTGTGTCACATTCAAACACTGCTGTGAGAAACAAAGATCACAGCTAAGGGCCATTGTTTGACTGATTTCTCACTTCCTCATTCATCTGGGGTGCAAACTATCCCCATGCAAACTATTCCTGTCTCCCAACACACACATCCTATAATCTTTTTCTTGTCTTCTGCTAAGTGCAATATCAGGAAACTGCAGTTTACCCACACTACTGCATCACCTGGACAGCCTTTCTACAAGTTTATATGTTGGTTTGTATGTGTTGAAAGCAGACCATATCATGGCATCATACCGTGTCCTTTTTCTTGTCTTCTATGTGGGCACATGAAAGAGACTGTGCCAGGGCGTGTGTTTATATATACTTATATGTGCACAAACATCAAGAATGGGACAGGGTGACAGGACATGACTCCCTCAGCCACACCCAAATTTAGCAGTATTTCCAAAACAAGCTGTGTTCGCATTTTTAATTACTGGCATTTGTGTCAGTCCTGTTTGGCCACTGCGAAACATGGAGCTGGATCTAAGCATAGCTCAGATGCAGCATAGAGCCATCTCATCTGTCTTTAAAGCTCTAAGACTTCCCCATGTTTCACTAGTGGTGACAGACCTATGGATGACCTGCAGACGTGCACTCTGCTGCAACTACAGTGACAGATAATAGTCGCAGAGGAAGACATGATACTACCAGTGCTGCACAGTAGGACAGTGCATCATGGTCCCTTTGTTTGAGGTTAATTTTGTTCAAGATAATTTAATTTTGCAAAATGGAAGTTCCTACAGAGCTCTAATCAAAACTGTGCCCGTGCACAGCCGGTATGACCATTACTGCCTCAGTGTTGAGCACTGTGAGACGCTTCACAATGTGACAGAATTACAGTAACAGTCAGCGTGAAAGAGATGTGGATCCCCACCTTTTTTTTCTGACAGCCCAGTAAAATCTGCCACCACCCATCATGTCTCAAATGTCTTCAACAGTTATAATGTTAATGTTATTTGTGGATGTCAGTGTTTAGGTTGGCTTGGTAAAGTTTGTAGTCATCATAACTATATTCCTATTATTTATTACTTTTAGGCAGCTAATTGTGTCATTTTGTTCACTAGTTTTAACTATTTTAAACTTTATCTATTACTTGTAGCTATATCGACCCATTAACCTCAGCCATTACTTTAAGCTAAATATTACGCTGAGCTAACATCAATAAATTAGTACTATAGCGCTATATAAACTCTTTATCTGCTATTTGAGCAATTTATCCTTTTTTATTTTAGCTATTTCAAACAGTTTATCCTAAACTTTCAGCTATCTATTTATCCATTATTTTAACTATAATTAATCTTTTACTTTTATCTAACATGATCTATCTAACTGGCTACCTTTAGCCAGCTGTTTCAACTTTTCTTGCAAAGTACAGTACTTTTAATCTACTTTTACTCATACTGTGGTGCTCAAGTGGTACAACTGACTCCATATGTCCATATATTTTCTGTCAAATCATACTTTTTATTTTTTTCAAATTATTTGATCTTCCTACACACCCCCTGGAAACTGCAGATGCACCATGGCTGCGAATAACTGACAGAGCCCATCTCCTGTAGTGTAAAAGATTCTCAAAATGTCACGCACAGTAATAAAGTGTTCTCTGTGCCCATAATGCATAATTCTAAAATTATCATATACAGGATTTGTAAATGCAGTTAAATATCATTTTCTCTGAAGCACAGTGTGATGTTTTTGGTCCCAAAAATGCATTTTATTTCTGACCTTTCCTCTTGTGTCTGTTTCCGATCGGTTTTAGTGCAATTCCCACAAACATAATTCATTTTTACTCAAAACTATGACATTTGTTTTCAAACATGTGAGAAAAGCATGATTTATTAAAAGAGCAAGGTCACAGCAAAACAGAAGTAAAGATTATAAAGGGATCAGGGGTGCCACTTAGCCTGTGTTTCTTTTCCCCTGTTTCCTCTGGTTTGGGAGCCTAGAAATAGGGTTTCCAGACCAGTCATCAGAGGGGGCCCCAGTCCCCGTAAATCCCACAGCACTCCTGGCTCCCTGAACGACTGTTATGAGCAAGTACTTTCTCAGGAGTCACTTAAGGACAAAATGCTTAGACGGATATAAATCAATCACACAAGACATTTTTGAAGGTCAAGGACTGAGAGCGGCAAATGTTTAAGGTTTATTTTTCATCAAAAACATTAAAATATATACAACAAAATAAGATGATGTTGAAAGTGAAGCAGAGACGGTGCAAATAAATGACAACACAATCACTTTAAAAGTTTGTTAGTCATTTATAATCATGACCCATCAATCAACGCCTTATAATCATGTTCATGCGTTTAAGTTCATCAGCTTGTAATTCTGTTTCCTTAACTCTTCAGCCCGACAACAGCATAACATCTCGGTGACAGCAGGGGATCAAAAAGTTGCACCAGTGCACAGAATGATACATCCTCCTGCAGTAGAAAAAGACATACACCCATAAAACAATCAGACACCATAAAACTGAATAAAAACACATGCACATAAAAATCTTTTCTCAGATTGATTTTGACTCTTGGCATCCTCTGCTGTATGATGTTCTCACAATTAAAGATTTCTCCATTGAATCCCCAGAGTAGACACATCAATCTGGACAAACACTGTGTCAGATGGACTCATGTGGAAAACAAGCCTGTCCTCCTTGATGGCCAGATGTTTAGTACTATACTTTTGCTGCTTTCATACAATGTCAGCATAAATAGATTTCTGTTACTAGCCTTGCAGTCACACCCCCTTTAAATATCCTAAATTATTCATCATTATAATTTATTATTTGCCCAGAAACCAAAGTACTGGACAAACTGCATTTTTGATCTGACAGTGGTGCCATATGGGAAATTAAGGGATCGCCAAAGTTTTTGTAATTTATCTTGTGTGAACCGTGAATGTTTGTACAACTTTTCTGTCTGTGTCATCAGTGTTTCTCTGAGTGGCAATCAGTGCCATCCATCCCTAGGGCCAGCTGGGACGACTAGTGTAGCTAAACACAGCACACACACACAACACTAGTCTCTTTGGTTTCTCAAGGTATAAAGTCCCTTACACACATGATCCGCAGTGTATATTTTATCACATTTTTGTCCTTTGACCTTCCAGAGGACATCAAACCCACCTAGAAACACTGTGTATAGTTTACAGTATGCACAGCTTAATAAGTGCATTGGTGTGGCTGTCAGGGCCTGAAGCCTCTATGGAAACATACAATAAATGATAATGTGTGTTTGAATCCTTCTTTAATGCTGAACACACAAACAGCATCTAGTAGTTGTGAGGCTTCACAGCAGTTCATGTCTTATATCAAATGTTCCACTTCCCACACACAGTAGATGTGAACAGAACATAGTAACTAAGTGGTCCTCCCCAGGCTCGTCCTAGATTTATGCCACAACTGAAATGATTTTACCTGTTCCTTCAGGTAGCACAGGCGATCCAGGAGAATTAGACCTTCGATACAGGGAGCCAGGGTCACCTTTAACTGGTTGACATGAAAGAAGAAAGATGTGAAATAAACATTCATTTATTCCATTTCATATCAGTGGTTTCATCTATCTGGTACAAAATGGTGCTTTGCTTGCAAGTTGTCCCTGTTAGGCTACTCAGTACTGGAACTGCTTGTGTTCCCAGTAGCTGTTGGGCAATCCCCAAAAACCATTTAGCTGTTTTATGTCAAGAAGGAAAATTGGTATGTTAGCTGACACCGCAATTAGTGGCCTCAGCTGAAAGGCTGGCTTTCTCCCATTCCTGTAATACTTCCCTATACTCTGCAATGATCTCACTCAATGCTCTGGCATCATGCAGTGCATCTCATTTTACAGGAATGAAAACGCAGAGATTGTCAAGCTGGAAACAGGTTGTTGTGGTTTAAAGCTGTGTTAAGTATGCAACAAGGATTTAATACGAAGATGCTGTAAAGCCTGCTTGTTGGTCATTTTAGCGTTTTTTTTATGCTGTAAAGCCTGCTTGTTGGTCATTTGGGTGTTTTTTTTATTTTGAGAATATAAAGCGAGCACTCACCATGTTAAAGGCATGCATCTCATCCATTCGTGGTCTGTATGCGTCATGGTAACCCTGGATGTCATGGTCAGAAAGCTGAAGAAAAAGAGAGAGCTGCTCTTGTCAGTCAGAAACGGAGGGCAGTCAGTGTGAATATAGGGGAATGAAAATGAGAGAGGAAGAGTTCCAGTGGAAGAACTGAAAGAAAAAGATCTGTGGGTTTTGGAGTTGTGAGAAAACATAAAACAGACCAAAATACACCATCCTTATTTTCATGATTACCCAGGGCAACCAGAACTCCTCGAAGTCCCAGTGCCTGGAAACATCCTAAAGCAAGCTCTCAGGCACCTGTACACTAACCTGACATGAATTTGAAAATGTTCTAAATAAACACACAAGAGAAAACATTTTCTTCTCATCACGCCAACATAATAAGCATTTCACCCGTGGTGCTCAGTTTCTACAGAGTACTTTCCAGTTTTTGCCTGGAAAGTGTTATAAGACTGTAATGTTCTGGTCCTGACCTTTGATTCATCCAGTTCCAGTCTGCGTAGAGCCTGACGAACATAATCCACAAATGATTTAGCCTTGGAGTAGACATTCCCAACTCGCTTTTCGCTGCAGAACAAATGCACACACACACATACACTCATTTTTGCCCTATGAAATAAACAACATTCACTCCTTATTGTGTCTCCTGTTTTTTAAATCCATGTCCAAACTATTAAACACTACTAAAGGCCCAAACAGTGATGAATAGGTGCTGCTTGGAGGAAACTAATGGATACTCGATCGTGATCGGGTATTGGTCATTAAAGTGAAGTTCACACAGCACTGGGCTTCTGATAAGGGCTAATTGAAGAAGTGAAATCTGCAGTGTTTACTTCAATCGTTCAGTTTATTTAGTTAGAGGAGAGCAATGACCATCATCCAAAATCCTCAGTCATCAGGAAAGCAAAATAACAAGAGCAAATGACTTTGGAACTATGTTTTGTGGGGGTAAACCAGCAGTGACTCGTGTTTGGAAAGCACTGCATAGTCAAGTAAACTAAGGCCAAACTGCAGTGTGACTGATGAACGTGTACACTACTCTGACTTTTGTTCATGGTCTTACTTGTACCACATAAACAGGAAAGGCAAATTTACACAAGTGAACAAAAGCAAGTCTATTAGAGCTGATTATTTTAGTTAATTACAGTGAATGAGTGTGCTGATTATTATTTTGTGTCTGTGTTAATGATTTTGCAAATTAAATATCAGAACACTGTGATAACTCCTCATTACAATTTCCCAGAGCCCAGGATGAAACCTTCCAATAGCCTTCTTTGTCTGGCCATCAGTCCAAACCCCAAAGACATTCAACAAAAGCATTTATTTTAGAAGGCACACAAAAAAGTGAAAAGTAGGAAATTTTGAGAAGCTGGAAAAAGCATTTTTAGCTCTTGGAGTCTGTTGCTCCACCACTTTGGTGTGGACTGAAATATCTCAACAACTACTGGATAAAAATTTGGACATACATTCATAATGCCCAGAGGATGAATGCCACTCACATGGAGGCCCCACACAACTGTTAGTGGATTGCTGTAAAATGTGATACAAATTATGAAATAAGTGACTTAAGTAAGTATTCTTTGAAATTGCTGCTAATTAATTTTGTGCTTACTGAATAATCTTTGTCTTAACCGAGAACTAATTACATAACTCAAGTCTGTAATAGATTAGCTTGAACGTTAACAGTTAGGTTTACAGGTCTTGGTTCATTTGTAACCCAAACAAAACCAGAAGCTAACACTTTTCCTTTCTGGTTCAGATCAAAGAAAACAAACACCAAATGAGATTTTACCTTTTGTATTGCTCCTGAAGTTCACTGCCTGTTCTGCTAAAACTTGTTACCTCAGAACACACTGCATGTGGACGCTGTCACATAACATCACCCTTTAGCTACACGTATACCACTTATCCTGTAGAGGTGTCACTTAACATTCTTATATTTAATACACAACTATGGAACACAATGTCTCGCCAAAACTGCATTGGACACTTTGGGCTATGATTTCTCAAGATGAAAATAATCCCAGATGTAAATTACCTTTTATAGGAGCCGTAGTGGTCCCTCAGAATAACATGAAGCACTGCTCGGTAGAACAGTGACTCCATCTGAATCTATACAAAAAGGTCAAAGATAACTTGATTCAACATAATGCAGTGTACAGTATGTTTCACATTAAAAGTTTGTTACTCCCTTGTGATTTATCCAGTGTGTGCATGAACGCTTGATGAATATTTCTGACACTTTCTAAACATAATGCAACATAAGCAAGCAATCAAGCCTGTTTTGGATTCAGGCCCTGGTTCCAACAAGTAATCAATCTTGCCATGATTGCATTAATATTTATAAACATTCCATATTAATGGCTAGTGGTATTGTGATCAGCTTTGGCCTGGAGCTGTGCGCTTTAAAGTCCAAGTACATACACTGCAGTCAATCACAGAGTTGAAACAATAGCAGAATTAATGGGCTGACGGTTTGAATCCATGGAGGAGATCTACGATGAAAAATAATTCAGTTTTGAGTTATTATGAGCACCCAGATTTGTGGTTTCAAATAATCTGATTGATTTGTTTAGATGGGTAATAGAAAATGACATTTAACTCCCATTCTTGTGTGATTATGACTATTAGTTTATGACATTGATTACATTTCAGCAAACCTTACTTACCCCTTGGCCATGTGAAACTCTCTCAAGAGCCTGTTTTTTAGAAAAATGGTAAAGTCTTTAGACAAAGTATTTTTTGGAAAATCAGATCTGTAGCTATAGTTGCAAAGGTGAAAACCACCCCTGCTAAAAACTCATTAACAAACTAGTTTATCCACATGTCCTAGAGTAAATAAAAGGACTTTTCACTGTCAATTCATCAGAGGTGGTTGTTACACATTTATGTAGGCAAAATGATGCACTGTGCACATTTTTTGTGGTGTCGTCCAAGCTCACCAAACATGCAGACATCCTGGCATTTCTGCCGCAGAACCAGGACTGGCTGCGGAGGTACTGGCTCAGAGGAAACCCACACACACTGTGCAAACACTCTGCAAGGAAACACACAACGATAATGGAAGTAAAATGACTGATCAGTCTGGCTGATTAATTTGGGCTTTTTCAAACAGTTACAGTGAAGTTCAAGTTGGCAGGAGAAGGAAACATTTAAATTTATGGCAAAGACTTGCATCTGCTTTTTTTCACTACGAACGTCTTATATCATCTAAACAAGCTTTGAATGACTACTCAAATAAAAATAACATTGGCTTAAAGAAATGGTTTTGACATACTGGGAAATAGGCTTGTTTGTTTTCTTGCCCAGAGTTAGATGAGAAGATCAATACCACTCTCATATCTGTCCATTAAATCTGAAGCTATAGCCAGAAGAATATTCGCTTAGCTTAACATAAACACAGAAATTTGGCAGACTCTCCTTTGCTGGCACAGTGACTTTCTACCTATCTTAGCAATAACATTGACTTTGGTTTCAGTATGGATTAAACAAACAAGTTACAACATGTTATACTTATTTAGTGAGCTTTAGACATGCTGTTCTTTTCAGCTTTGGACAGCGCTAGGCTAGCTACCTCTCCATTTCCAGTCTTTATGCTAAGCTAATTATCTCCTGGTTATAGCCTCATATTTACTGTATAAACAAAGAAAGTTTTATCAAGTTTCTCCTCCAAGAAATAAAGTGAATACATGTAATTTCTAAAATATCAAACTATTCATTTAATGTGAGTCTGTGAAGAGAAGAATTAAGGTAAACCCCTCCTTCCTAAATATTTTTGCCTTAAAGGGTCAGAACTGTTGACCTATGCTTGCTGTTGTAAGGAGCAGCATAAACCACTTATTTCTAACCATAGCAGTATGTACAAACGAAGATTCCCAAAGGGGAGAGTGCTGAGTGTGACCTCTTGACAGACCACCATCTTTATTGTGTCATTTCTAAAAGGGTCAGTGACTGAGGCCAAGGCACACCAAGTCCAAAGGGATACGGAAGAACCTGACAAAAGCACAAACAACATGCAGCTGGGACCTGTCAGGCTCTTGCAAACTGCTCCAGACGTGCTAACTTATTAGCAATCGGGTTAGCTTTCCCATCTGCCTGGGACATAGCTTGCTGACAGGCCCTCGGTGGCAACTGAAGCAGACGAGCCTTTACTTAGTCTGACAGATAGATTACAGTATATACACAAGGCTGTTTATAGTAGCTAGCCTCATGCGGACCACAGCGTTCGCCTCTTAAGTGGCCATGTACACGCACTCCAATTCAGAAAGACAAATATTTCTGATATCCTTGTGTACGACTGGACATGTACACTTGTAAACACATTGGCTACAGACTCATCTCAAGGAAGTAGGTTTTTTGCAAGTAAACAGCATAAGACTGGATTCTACATAATGTGTTATATTTAAAGACTTAATTAAAGCCTACATGAGCATATAATTATATAACTGTTTTCTATAATGAAGCTTTTCAGCTAGTTAGCTCCTTTTTAGGGTGAGGTAGGTGACCACAGAAGCTGGCCTGCATCCCAGACTGCACTGAAAGGGCAACAGGGAAGAGAAAGTGTGTGCATGTGCAAATCCCTTTGTTCACTTTAAAAGAACAAGCTGGAGTTCAAAAAGCAAGCATGGCAAGAAGTGTTTTCAATCAACTGGAATGATATAATTTTCCACTCTTGAAGCTACAACAGGCCCTTGATGACGTGGGGGTCGAAGGTCACATTGTTAAAAAGAGATGATTCGATACAGTACCGACTGTAGCAAAGGCTCTTTCTCATTAACGACAGAGGCTGCAATTGTACACTGCTCGGTAGAACAGAGACTCCATCTGAATCTATACAAAAAGGTCAAAGATAACCCCACAGCATGAGGACACATGCAGATGATTTCAAACATCATAAACTATGAGGTAAAGGAGCATGAAACAGGGATGATATCAGTCAGTTATCCTGCATTTTGGCAACTGAATTAATCGTCAAGCTGAAGCAGCAGCAGTAGCAGAGAATGACAAACAATCTCCTTAGTGTGGAAGTCAAGGCTGACTAAATAACAGTGAAAACAAAATATTACACACTTCTTGCAGAATCAGCCACTTCCAAATTATTCCTGGCTGTGATCTGTATCTCTGAGTGTGTCACTGTCAGTATGTGTGTAGTTACCCTGCCTGGCAGTGTCAAATTCCTCAGACAGCAGGTGATAGCAGCAGCCCACGCTGCAGACTGCAGCCAGCTCTGGTTTAGCCACAAACATCCTCAGGGTGCTGGGAGCCAAGTCACCACATGTGTGCAGGCCAACCATGATTGCATCCTGGAGTTTAAAGAAAGTGTGCAGAGAAAGCAAAGAACAGAAGAGAAGGAGGAGGAGGGGCACGTGTGGAGATCGATGGTGAAATTTATTGATGATGACGTGCTGCACATTTGGCACCGCAATAACATCCCACACTCGACCCAGTAATGCAAACTCCAGCCACTATGACAGACTTGTAATTTTAGGAGCTGCTGTGGGAATTGTGTTTTACTACTATACAGCTGGCCTCCTGTCTTCACCACCACCTGACACACACAGCAAATGTGTTTTCCATGTTTACTTTTGGCTTTATCTGACTTTGGATTCTGCTCACCTCCAGCTCGCTAATGAGCTCGCGGAGCTCTGTTTCCGCTGTAACATAAGATGTGAGAGTTGAAAACATGGCGCCGGCACTCTTGCTTCTGTTTAGAGCTTTCTTCTCCAGGTTCTCCCTCTTCCTCCTCTCTCTCTCCTCAGCACTCAGTTGACTCGGGGAAATTCTGGGGGGTGTAGTCTGTATCACATCCAGTGAAAGTGCACTAAGGAAGACCTCCTCTGTTTCTGGGTTTGGCTCTGAAGGTCGCTCCACTACAGGGTTGACATCTGATAAGCTGGTTAACACCTTGTCCTCCTCCTCTGGTATTCCTGGACCATCATCATGTAAAACTCCACAGCCTCCATTAATGCCAGGCTTTATTTGTAATAGCTCCTCCTGTGGTGAATGTGTGACCTCTGCTAGTGCCTTCACTGCCTTGCTGCGTTTCTGGTACACCCTGGAGAACTTCTTGATCTTCCTGTTCCTCTCCTGGGCACCGTGGGTGTTGGTGCTGGAGGAGTCGATGCCATAAACTCTGAGGCCATACTGCAGGGAAAGGAAGGAGCTCAGGTAACCCTTTCCTGAGCCCACGTCAATCACCTTAGTGGGAGCAAAATGATAGAAGATGGAAAATAAAGCTTCTTCTGTTTACAAGTCATTCCAAGGTAGAGCCTTTAAGGTATTCATAGGAACATGATAAATGACAGTTTACCTGTTTGACTCCACAGCACTGAGCCAAACAGGCCACCACCTCAGACATAGATTGAACTTCATGAGACTTCTTTGAATTCATAAACTCATCTGGCTCCACCTCAGTACCTTGATTTGACAGAACAGAAGAAAAGCATCTTTTAAAAAGACATATATACACCTATGCTGTTGTTTAAAAAAATCCCAAATCAGCCCTATAATTGCACTTCAGTTGTGGTCAAAATTTGAGCTGGACAATTCTTGACTAGTTTCCTACTTTCAACCTAAAACACTGCGGACATAAGATGCCTTCTTCCCTACCCATCTCTGCTGCTGAAGCACTAGACTGCGGCCTGTTCTCTCTGAGGGCCTGCAGTAGCTCATTTCTGCTCAGACTGACTCCAAGGCCAGGAACAGAGTAAACCTTGGCCATCTGCAACAGTTCGTGGGTATCGACCAGCCTGTTTGTATTCCTACAAAACCCAAACTTGGTTCCGGTTTGCTCTGTTTAGGGAGACAGACAAAGATTGGTATTTTTATTTTTTTATTTTAGTAGAACTGCATTTAGCTCTGTGTTTATATTACACATACACTGTGCAGATTTTGGTGCAAGGAGTTAAAGCACTTAAAAGCTAAGAACATCCAAAGTACAAAATGTTAATAAAAACTTTAAAAAAAGAAACGCTTTATCATATTTTACTTTCAATATCTTTATATTAGTTTCATTTAACCAAAAACCGAACGTCTTTACCTTTTCCTCTGTGCTCTGGCTCCCTCTGCTGGTCAGTACAGGAGCTAACTGCAGACAGGACCTCCTCTGGTGACACGGCCATAAGCTGTTTCCACACGTCGTGAGTGTAAAACTCCACAGTGTGAGCATTAGCGATGCCCAGAGTTACAGACAAAAACCGCTTGACTTCATCTATCCGTTGTTGAATTTCTGTGAGGCTGTATGTAGAGGGTACCATGTTAAAAAGCTGTGAAGCAGACCTAAGTGAAACGTAAAGCTAACTCTCTACTGCTGATACGCGCCTAGGCAGTAGCAATCAAAGGTTCGATGATTTTTTAAATAAAAACCTGCAATTCTTTCCATAAAATGTATGTCTGTATACATACAATAACAAACTCTTGGGATGTAGAAAATATTTTGCTTGGTCAGGCAGAGCATGCATTTAGACATTTCCTTGTATTAAAGTGATCGCCTCAGAGATTAATCGAGATCAAATACTCTGTAATCGATTTTCTATGTCTGTCCTGTACACGTCATCACCCAGCGTCTGGGGGGATAAACTACGACGCTTGAACACGCATGTGAGATGTAAACATTTAACATTTCCTGGTAAGATTTCATTATAATGGCACCGACAGATCAGAAAATAAGGAATAAGACTTATAATAATAAGAACAATAAATCAAAAGGAAACGCACATGGTGTCAAAAAGAAGAGGAAATGGATCCCGGAGCACAAAATATTCGAAGGCAGTGTTAACGAAGGTGAGTTTAAAACAGCTGCTCTGCCTAAGTAGTAAGACCAGTAGCTTAATAATTAATAGTAAGTTTCTTAATTCATACACCTGCATTTACAAAGTAAGACAGCCAAAAATGAAGCACAACTTCTTTTTTTTTTTATAAATGCATGTACTTTCCTCTCTAGACAGATGTTGCAAATTTAACTGAGAAATTTCATAATTAATCTGGCCTTTCCATGTGACATAAATTGTAATAAATAAAATAATTTTAAGCATACACCTGGGTGCTCTACTAATTTTGGCTAATAGGTGACTCACCAACGACCCACCTTTTGTTTAAATAGAATATCAACATTAAATAATATGGTTTATATTCTTTACTCTTCAGGTCAAGGATTTGCATTCAAGAGGAAGCAGAAAGTCAAACATGAGTACAACAAACTACTGCGGAAGAAGAAGAATTCTGAGTCCAAACAGCTGTACAAAGAAGAGTATCCAGAACACCTCAGGCATCTTTACATGGCAGAAGAAGAGAAACTGAAACATGAGGCTTGGACCAATAGAATGAATAGGACTATGCAGAGAATGAAAGGCCAGAAGAAGAGAGAAGTGACAGATGATGACACTGCTGGACAACAAACTGAAACGGCTGATCAAGATGCAAATGTTGCTGGTTCCTCTGGGCTGACAGATTCTATGCATGACTCAACAACAGCTTCAGAGAAAGAGAGGTAAGAAATATTTGTTGGCACAAAGTTCTAAAATTACATTTTTTTAAAAATGGATTTCGGAAATATATTACAGTATCTGAGTCAGTTATTGCTGCTGAGCTGGGAAAGAAAGAGTAACTGCCACCTTTCTAATGTTCTCTTCCAGCCTACCAATAAGCAACCGCATGAGGAAGAAAATGGCGAAGAAGACATCCTATCAGAAGACAAAAGAGGAATTCGAGAGTGTCATCGAAAAACGTAGAAAAAAGAAAGAGGTGAGCTCTTTCCCCCGCTACATGTGGGTAACAATAACGCTACCTCTGTTTTTGTTACAAATTTTGTTTTACTTGGATTGTAGTCTGACATGTTAATGACAGGTTGTCTCGTTCTTTTGTGTTTATTTTTTCTTTAAACCTAGGAGTACCTGAAAAACAAGCAGCAAAGAGAAGAAGCCATTCAGAGGTACAAACAAAAAAAGATGGAGACGTTCCAGATGCTGAGCAAAAAGACCAAGAGGGGACAACCAAATCTGAACCTTCAGCTTGAGTATTTGCTTCAGAAGATACAAGGAACTGAGAACTGACTGCGGACTCACAGCTGATCGTGAGGAATGAATGGAAAAAGAGTGGATTGTCCCTGTATTTGACTTGGATATTTAAGACCTGATACAGACATATCTGATGTGCACTAGGTCTGTGCTTTCACGCCATTGTTTCAGTGGTTCTCTATCCATAGAATACCTGATATTGTGACCTATTTTAATCTTAGACCACAAGATGGCATTGTAAGATATGAAGAGATGTTCATGTAAGACATTGTTTAAATCAATAAAAGCTTTCTTTAAAGTGGTAGTTTTTTGAAATGGGCAATGCTAACTGCCATGACACAAAATAATAATTCACTAATTTGTAATTTCACAACATTAAACTAGTTTTGCTTTTATTGAAACCATTGAAAATGGGTTCCTAATCTGTAGTTTACTGTCATTAACAACATTAACATTCAAGATAGAACCGATCTTGCGCCTGCTGTTGCATACGTGTAACTTTCATAAAGAGTCTGTAGCCCTCTCTGTCAATGAGGCAGCAGCATGTGCATGCAAGCTGAAAAGCCTCAGGCTCCTTCCTCATGACATCACATGGTTGCAGAATGACTTCTCTAACATTTATCTGTGAGGCAAGACTTCCTAAACACGGTCACTGCTCTGCTGATATTGAGATGGGAAGAAGGCTTCAGTTTCCACTGCATATAAAAAGTAAGACATTTCCCTTCTCTTTTTGGTATATTGTAAGAAGCAGTTTGTATGTTAAAACTGCAATAAATAGTCCGATAGAACTATTTGCCATGAGTTTTGTACATGTTATAAAAAATGCCCCAAACCTTTTCTTATCTATTATACTTGAGTGTAACCTTTCCTTCACAGTAAGGTTTTACTGCACACAGAAAAATGCATGTGGTGGTAGCATTAAAGAGTATTTATTTGTGTGCAAAAAAGAAAAGCTGTGACGAGAATTTTTAATCATTTTCCTAAATGTTTTGGTTTGAATTGTAAAATCCAGTTTCTTACTCACCACTTTTACGTTTCCATTTCAAGAGGTTTGTTGACTTCAAAATCAAAAGTCTGCCTCATATTTGACTTTCTGTAGAGTTTACTGTATATTTACAATAAATCACAAGACAAACAGTATTCCAGCTCATAACAGATCAAACATGACAGTACTTCAAAACTTTGTGTGAGTCATGACGTTACAAAAAAAAAACAACCTCTGAGAGTACAGAGGTGATACATTATACAGTTTTGGATTCATCTGTCTGTACCTCTTAGTATCAGCTCTTGGAAGCATTATGCCGTCATGTGTTCTGTATGGTGGGGTATTAAGATAATCCTTTGGACTGTGTTTACATACCTTTGTGAGTTGCTTGTTCCTGGCTTAGTAGAAAAGGGAAGTACTGTATGGTTGTAACAAATGCAGTGCTATTGCATTATGTTCTGATCACTAGTTGTCTCACAAATGTCACCTTTCCCAGTGCAGTAGTAAGATGTATCTGGGCTGACCAGTGTATTTGTCTCTGTTTCACAGGAGCTTGCAAGCACTTATAAGAGTGCATTTATAAGTTATCAGTGATCTCTTCAGGTGATGCTACTTCCTCTGTTGTCATTACGACTGTGAGAGCACCAGACTGCCGGATGCAGGGCCAGTGATGAGGCCTAATGTCTTATTCCTCCCCTGAACTCCACTGAAGTACATGGTGCTGGCACAGAGGGCCACTCAAATGTCCTTAAAAAGAGTCCCAGTTATGGAGGAGGAGGGCAGGGTGAATGGCTCTGGACTGAGCCCAGAGAGGAAGGACTCAGAGTGGGGTTACAAAGCCCTGCTGGACAAGACCAAGGAGTTCTTCCAGACTTGTGATGAGGGCAAAGGATTCATTACCCACACCGATATGAGGGTTAGAAAATGAGTGTGTGTGTGTCTTGGATTGAGATGGCAAAAAATGAAATTGATACAGTAGATCCAGAGTTATCCTTTTAATTTATTTATTTATTACCTTTTTCTTTCTGTCAAAAGCTGCTGCATATATTACAAAGCAACCCAACTGCCAGTACTTAAGACTCTGGTGTGTTATGGTAGCTGCTAATGTAGCCTCCTGGCTCAAGCTGATTTTTTTTTTCTACTTTCTAACTTGTAGTCTTTAAACCCAACTCACACTCACTTAAACATCACCCGAGGCATCAGATTTCACACAGCTACTTTTGGAACCACAGAAAACTTTATACAACTTTTTTTCCACATTAGTGGTGGTAGTCTCTAAGGCCTGTAAAAACACTGATGTGTAAAACAGGTAGCGGTCTCCATTACTCTGCTAAATTCTCTGTCAGTTTAATCGTTTGGTTTATAATGTCAGAAAATAGTTTAAAAAATACTTTCAAAATGTGCATTTTGTCCAAACTACAGATTTGAAGTCAAAGATTTTCAGTTTACTATTTTATAAAACCAAAAGAGTTTGAAATTCTTCACCTTTGTGAAGTTATTGTTAATGTTATTTTCCAGCACTCACCTGAAGAATAATAAAAAAAATATTTTAGAGAGGTTTTTTTTCCCCTGGACACAATCAGTTTTTTCTTTTCAAATGCATGGATGTTCTGCAAATGCATTAAGCCTCTACTAAGAAGAAGGTCAAGAGGACATGCTTTTACCTGCAGCATAATTTAGTGTCCTGTGATGCTATATTGGTGTTGAATGGCAAGTAGGGAACACTGAGTGTCATGCTTGTCATTTTTGCTTGATTCTGAGATTTTTTTAATAGTTATATCACCACTGTTAAAGAAGCACTTCACCTACTCAACACATTAGAACAGCTAGTGGCAGAGAAGCACCACTGATGGAAATGTTTATGAGTGAAGGTTCAGCTCACACATACACCAATTCACTGTCTGAAATTAAGAACACAGGCAGGAACAATACACCCATGCCTCTTCAAAGCGCTAATCTGTGTCTGATAATTAGGACAGGGCTCTTATGAGCTTCATGCCTTTTGTTGCTGGTGTTTTTGTTGAGGTTTTGCACGAAAGCTCTGTACACATAAAACAGATGATCTGCCACTTTGTTTATTCTACAAAAGATGTGCTTTGAGTTATAACATCACAGCCACATATGAAATATTTAAGATTTTATTTAGATTATGCAATTGTTATACTGCCATAAAATAACTTTAAATAGTTTCCAGTCTAACTGCTAACCATGCCCATATGAATCGTTTTGTATGGTTGATCATTACTGTGCAAATCAGCTCATTACAACAGCATTTAAATGGCCTGTGTGTCTGTTTCTTGGCAGAGGCTCCACAGAGAGTTGCCTTTGTCTGCAGAGGAGCTGGATGATGTGTTTGACTCTCTGGATACAGACCACACTGGTTACCTTACGCTGGAGGCATTCTCTTCTGGATACAGTAGGTTTCTCTTTGTCAGAGGCCTTTAGCTTGTATCATGTAGTTTATCAAGCTTAATCTGTCTGTAAAATGTGTAACTATCATGTAGTTTATCAAGCTTAATCTGGCTGTAAAATGTGTAACCATTTACAATGTAAGTACCATTCAGATCTATGCCAAATCTGAAGTAGAGCCTCAAGATAAAGTTACACTGGAGTTCAACGCAGTCGCTTTCATGGTAAACGATATGCATAATGTGCAACTGATTGTGTTTGAGGCACCGGAAGTATTGAAACGACACTATGCAACTAGTTGAACAGAGGCAACTTTGGTTACAAGTGAAAATTAGGCAACAGTGTAACGCCAGCCTAGTTTAGCCGCTACAGGATAAGAATGGGCTACATGTTAAACGTAGTGTAACAGTAACACAAGCAGAGAGGAGTCCTAATGTCTCTGGATTAGTAATGTCAGCTACACAGCAGCTAATGTTTGTTAATAATGACTAGCTTTAGCCACCGTATGCTAATTGTCATAACGTAAGGCTAAAACAGCAAAACCCATGAGTTTATTGCTAATCAATTTAGTTTGTACATTTGTAAGAATAAGAATGTATTATTTATTCTTTCGAAAGCTAACGTTACATAGTGTCACCTTAAATATTTGCACGTATTTTTAGAGGTTATGTGGTACAACATCTGGCTTTTAAAACAGATTGGTAGTTGCATGAATCAGTAACTTTTCCCCATAAACGTACAAGTGTTAATCAGGAAATATGACAGTTTGACATGCTTTGGAAATTTACTTTCAAACAAGCCAATGTCCAAATGGAAACTGATGGAAATGCTGCAGCCATTAATACAGTGAATACATCATTGCTTACACCCCATGTGGGTGTATCTCAGGTCGGTTCTTGCATAGCAGGAGAATCTCTGTCACTGATGACCAAAGTCAGGCCCTGGGGCCAGTGTTTAGAGCCAAGGAAGCCCTTTATCAGAGCCAGTGGGAAGCCAAGCTGTCCGGAGTGGAAGACGAGGAGGAAAGGCACTTCTCTATGCTGCTGGAAAGCCTGGGGGCCAGTAATGTGTTTGAGGAGTGAGTGAAACCATTGCAAACCCTTATGCAGTTGTGCCCCCTCACCCCCCCCGTGATTTACAAGTGAAACCACACGTTCATCTCCAGTCCAGGCGAGGTGCGCAGTCTCTGGGTCCAGCTCAGGCAAGATGAACCTCACCTTCTGTCCAGCTTTGAGGAGTTCCTGGCCAGGGTCACCCACCAAATAAAAGAAGCCCACCGGGAGAAGAATGAGATGGAGAGTGCCCTCCACAGGTACAGAATACACCTGCATTCATGATTACAAAAAATGAGATTGGATTCCCTCTAAATGTTATGTTTTTTTCCTCATGTGGATGGGACATGGAAAGAAAAACAGAGGACAAAAGGAAAGAAATGAATAAATAGGAAAGGAAAACATGAACACACAGGAAGGTATGCAGGGAGTGAAGAAATGTGGTGTTTATTTACTGCCACAACATTGACTGTGGATCCTGGGTTAAAAAGGCCACATTTCTCAATTAAATTGCTGAAGTATTGAAGTACTAAATTTTCTGCTCCATAAAGCAAATGATCTTCTCTCTCATTAGCCATGTAAAGAATCTGTGGCACAATGGTGAGGTTTTATTTTTTATGTGTAACTGTATATTTATATTACTGCCGCATGCTGGGCTTTCAGCCTGAGAGTGTTTGCGTGGTAATTCTTTGTAGAACCACCCCTTTATCCATGTCAAATGACTACTAATCTGGAGGCTTACTCTGAAGTTTGACCACCGTCTGCTGTTATGAAACCCATTAATACCATGTCTGATTAGACATGAAAAGCAGTAAAAGTGTTAACATATTATGGTCAGTATATTAATAGCTTTACTTCTGTGCACAGCATTTAAAGATAACCTGAAATTGCAAGTGTGTACACACTGAATGTGAGCTTTTTGTCAAACAGGCATACATATGGTTGTTTTTCCATGGCACTACATGGTGTTGTGCAACAGACTGTTAATCCTCTAGACTTAACTAATTGGCTGCCTGGGTCTTAACAATTGTCAGAGGGAATGTAAATACCACTCAGTGTTCTTTTTGGAAAATGAAGCTCTGTCTGTGTGTGTTCATGTAATTACAAATACAGAAGAAATAATACAACCTTAGGCTAAACCTAGAAAACAGTGTCATTCTCTTTCTAGATATTATATTATGTCATACTGTATATCAATTAATCACCTTTGCAGGAAGGCTGCAACACACGACAGCGAGATCCGTCATTTATATGAAGAGATGGAGGCGCAGATCAAAAACGAGAAAGACGGGCTGTTGCTAAAGGTACAAGAACACATACAAAATCACCAATATTAGCAACTAAATGGGTCAGAGAAATGGTTTCATCATCATATCAGAAACCTTTTTTCTTAAGTGAGGTAGAAGAAGAAAATGTTTTGAATTTTTATTCGAGAGAGAGAAATTATTATATCAGATTCAAAGCAGTACTGTATTTTATGTCTTAAATCATGTCTGGAGTGATTCTTTGGCCCTAATGAGTTTCTGACCTTGTGACCTTTTATTTTTGGCCATTCAGGACTCTGAGCGTCTTCAGTTACACAGCCAGGAGCTGGAGCACCAACTGTTTTGCAAAGAGAGAGAGCTGGAAGAACTTTTCCAGACGCAGAAAAGGGTGAGTTGATATGAACATCACATCCCAACAGCATCCATTCACAAGATTTAGATGCTATATTTACACTGAAACAGTACATAAAATATGAAAACATTAGATATGTCCATTATGGAAAAGACCACATAATGCCCACAAACACAGAATGTGTGTGTGTGTGTGTTTGCAGAAAAGTAGTGTTGATCCTTAACTTGTTGTGGTGAGAGGACTTAACATGGACTCTTACTGGTCTTTCTCTACTAATACAGTCTAGGTATACTCACCCAGCAATAGTGTGTATTCTTTACTGTGAACATTTCCCTTTCCAGTTAGAGCTCCAGTGCCATGAGCTGAGCAGTGAGAAGCAGGATAACCATGTGGAGAAAGTCAAGCTGAAGATGACCAACGACGAGCTGTCCCGAGCGCTGGAGACCACGAGCCAGGAGCTGGTGCTGGCCCAGGAGCAGATAGCCATACTGCAGGAGCAGGCCTCCCAGCTGCACCAGGAGAAAGAGATGTGGGGATACGCACTTGCTGCACATATTTAAGTTTTGTTTATGTTAACATTTATCTACGTGTTTTCTCACAAATTAACTCCCAACTATAGCTGAGATATGTACAATCATTTCTTATCTTCACCTTAACCCTAAACCAAACCCTAACTTCTAGAAGTTATAACCACCTTCACTCTCTTATAGTTCTGCTCAGAATGTCTGCCTGTCATTTTGCCTTGTTTTAGGGAAATGTACAGTGTAACTGAGGGGCTGCAGAGAGAGAAAGAAAATCTTATGACACAGCTTGACCTCCTCAGGTACGAGAACAAGAAGGACATCCTATGAGCTTTTCATACCTGGATAGTAATTGGGGTTTAAACTCTTTGGCTTCTGGTTTAGTCTGATTAGCAACCCTCACATTTCTGATTCTGAAGTATTTCTAAATTTTTTTTGTTTGTTTTTTTATTTTTGTCCCCATTTTATTGTTTCTTTTCGATCTTCACAGAGAGATGAATAAACATTTAAAGGACGAGCAAGACGTATGCTGTGGCATGGTGAGTATATATTTCATCTAATGTCATTGCAGTAGTTTCTGTCACGGTACTACCTGACATTGTATAACGCATTTCTTTTGTTTAAACAAGGCTCAAACTTCACTCAGAATGAAGCAGAAGCATAGAGCAGGCCTTGCCAATGTATTTGATGACTCCAGCCAGCCAGCAAAAAGGTGATTCATTCATCATCTCAATACTCTTAAATTACCCATGTCAGATTGTTGTATTCAGTGGTGTGATTCAGTGTGATGTGTGAAAATCATGTATCAAAGAGGAAAAACAGAGGATATTTGATTCTATACACTTCCAGAAATCAAGAAAATTAGCAATTTAGTTTAGATTATTTTAAAATCAGAGACATGTGACTGCTTTGGCCTCTAGATTTTTATTTTTATTTTTTTCCTCAGTCAAGTGACTTGATCCAGTATCCTCTGTTTCTCCTCTGTTTTCAAAGAGCCCCTTTGTTGGTGGATGGCTCCTACCAGTCTCTGGAGGCCTTGCCAATAGAGCACCTTCAAATCGTGTTTGTTGCTTCCACCTCCTGTAGTGAGGATGACACAGCCACCACTGCTTCCTCCTCCTCCACCACTCTTAGTGCCCCCACATGTCAACAACGCACTGCAGCAAGGAAGAACTCCAGCTTAGCTAACGACTACGCCAGCTTTGCTCTACCCAAAGTACACGATGTGAAGGCAAAGGCCAAAAAATCACTCGGCAACGTGGCTGCTGCTAAGAGAGTGATGGAGAAAGAAAGTGAGAAGAAAGTAGTGATGATGAAAGAAATTGAGAAGGAGAGTGGGGTAGAAGAGGAGGTGTTAGACGCCTCTCCAGATGGCTGGCCCCTTCGTCGGGTCATTTCCATCGAGGAGGACCACCTGCCGCACCTGCTACAAGGTAGGCCTCATTCTTTACTGCACCAGCTCAGTAAGGAGGAAGATGAAGAGAGTGATGAGGATGATGAAGAAGCCCAGAGTGACACTGGATCTAGTACTGCCATGGCAGTAGACCTCTCTGCCACCCAACCCTTTCATCTCCCAGTGTTTGCAAAAGCTCTTTCTGCAAGGAAAGTGCGATTTAGCCAAGCAAAGAAGGTCCCCATGTCTCCAAGAGGGCAGCCTGTTGGGAAGGAGACTCAGCTAGTATGTCCACATCTTTTAAAGTCACCCAAAAACTGTTGGAATTTCAGTGTACCAAAGGTCAAAAGTCAGTTATAGAATATGATCTGAACAAAAATACTGTGTCTTTCTGCTTTGTCTGTATTTTACTGTCATTAGAAAACAAGAGAAGGAGGACTGTTTGCCCCAGACCGCCTCTTTAAGGTGGTCCTGGTTGGCAACTCCAGTGTGGGCAAGACGTCCCTACTATGCTCCTTCTGTGAGGGCCGTTTCCACCCTTTCACAACTGCTACTGTGGGTGAGAATAAAGATGTAATAATAACTATTGTATTTATGTACAGTAAAGTTTCACACACAAATTTGTGTGTGTTTGTGGATGCTAAAGCAGGAGATCACAGAACGACTTGGCATCACATGAAAGGGCTTGTGAGGTCGCACTGCCTCTCTAAAAGCCCTGTAACACATTGTACTGCAGATTATGTCACTTCAGAGGAAGACTTCTTACTTTCATCTTTCTCAATCCTTACTAGTCTTGTTATCGCCTCTCTGTTCAACCCTTCTCTGCTGAAATGAGCCATAGTCAATATCATACCTCACAAGACCCCTAGTGGCCCCTTTTGCTATGTCAGCGTTCCTATGACAAATAAAATGGAATATAAATGAAACCTGCCATCACATACTTTAGGTCCAGAAAGTGAAATTGTGCAAAAAAAAAACCCTTCTAACTTTAACTTTGTTATATTATACTGCAATTTGTTGTGTCCTGATCAGGTATTGACTACAGTGTGAAGATTTTAACCCTGGACAATATGCAGGTAGCCATGCAGCTTTGGGACACAGCAGGTCAAGAGAGGTGAGTTTTCATTTATTTTATGTTATTTTTACATACAAAACAACTGAAAACATACTATAAATTGGATTGGACTGGTAAATGATTAATAAAAGTAACACTGAAGTTCTCATAGATTATTGGCTAATCATTAATAGATACCCAAAGACAGAATACCATTGTACCCTGACAGTTTTTTTTTTTTTTTGTACATAATTTTACTATGTTAATGCAGTGTTTCAAAATCCTTTAATCCCAGGTAAAAATAAAGTACATGCTACTATACTTTAAATATCAGCGAGTACATGTGATGCACATCATTATTTTTGGTGCTGTTAAGTGTATTTCTCTGTATTAATTTAAATTGTATAATTCTCAAAGTATTTATTACACCTAAAATAGGTATATAAGTAGTTAAACTACTTCCAGTGTTTGTTTTTCTTTAGCTGAAGGATGAAAACGATTATAGTGGATTTTCTTATACTGTTTGGAAGTAAGTGTAATAGATTGCCACTTTTGTTGCACTCTTTGGAAATATATCTGATATTGTAGTAGTATTCAAGTACACTTAAAGTAACTATATTAACAGGTATAGATAATCAATCTGTGTGGCTGATATTCATTTGGTGCAGGTACCACAGCCTAACCAAGCAGTTCTTTCGCAAGGCTGATGGTGTGGTGGTGATGTACGACATCACAGTGGAGAAGAGCTTCAGGGGTGTGCGACCCTGGCTCACCAGTATCCAGGTCTGACCTTTAACCCACAAAGTCTTCATTTTACTTTAAACTTTGCAATACACTCACCAGCCACTGTATTAGGTAAACTTATACAACAGTTTGCACTTCAGTGCAAATCTGTCTGCAGCTAAAAATGTTTGAGTTTTGGTGAAATTGTCATAAATCGATAAATTCAGTTGTGCGTTTATTGAGGCCATAGTTAAAGGTGGTGTTGTACTATATTATATTCTGACCCTCTTGTGTATGTAGCTGGGGGGGACAAAAATTTAGAGACGGCTCTAAATATAGCATTGGATGACGTGTTTGCAGAAATTAACCATTAACCACTACATACTAAATGTTAGGATGTGTCAACCTCTGCCTTTTTGTTTTATCAGTTGTCTCTCACACGTCCTCCAACTTGATGGAAGGACAGTGATAAATCAATGGTCTGCTCTTTTTTCAGGAAGCTGCAGGAGAAGGGATACCCACCCTCCTCCTGGGCAACAAAATGGACATGGATGGAAATAGGGAGGTATCATTCAGAGAAGCTGAGCAACTGGCTTATGTGAGTTTAATTCAAAGTTAATGGATCTGTAATGGCTTTTATGTGCTGTTTGCTTTATTGCTTTCACACAATCACAGTGAGTGCAATAGATGGTTTCTTGTTATTTCTATTTGTGCTCTGTTTTAAATAATTAAACGTCCGTTCTGTTCGGGTCCTACAGGCCCGGAGAATCTTTATGGATTCATAACTCCACATCTACAAACAATTTTTAATCTGAAACAATGCAAAAACCTAGTCATAATCAACAAATGTTAATATTTGCCCTTTACTTTTGTTAGATTTTATTGCAAAAGGTTTAAAACTATGTTATTGTAACATTTGGCCAGACGAAAAAATAATACATTTACAAATAAAGTCAGATTTTTCACACCTGCTAAGATTTTTTCACTCCTGCTCCTCTCTACTAGGATCACACACCTCTCAGGCTTAGAGGGACATGCAGACACTCTGCCAAACAACCCCCAGCAGGCCACTCAGGGGCTATTTACACATCAAAGCCCCCAATTTGCATATGAATACAGCGATCACAGCGTCTTTGTGTGTGTGTTTTGCAGCGGTGTTGCACTGGGTGCATCTCTCTGTCTCAGAGCACAGACTGTAACTTGTGTGGGGATGACTAACCTGTGACGTTGGTGACGTGTGCTGTCCTGAGATATCTACAAACAATTTTGCACTGGGTGCATCTCTCAGTCTCAGAGCACAGACTGTAAGTTGCGTGGGGATGACTAACCTGTAATGTGCGTGACGTTGGTGACGTGTGCGCCGTCCTGAGATGCACGTCGCTGACGCACTCCTCCACTATATCCATATTAGCTTGGCTCGCCCTGCGGTAACCACAACATAATAAATTACAAATGTGAACCACTATCTAACACTCCCAGAGCACATTTTATTATCAAACAGACTGTATTTTACATGAATTACCAACCTGTGACCAGCTGTGCCATTCCTGAGACGCGCCTCACTGACGCTCCTTTATCCTCTCTATACGCGTTAGCGAGGCTCACCCTGCGGCAACCACAATGTAATAAATTACAAATATGAACCAGTATCTAACACTCCCAGAGCACATTTTGTGAAACAGACTGTATTTTGCAAATGAATTACCAACCTGTGACCGGCTGTGCCGTTCCTGAGACGCGCCTCGCTGACGCACTGCTCCGCTCGTTTTACGTGTTATTTTGGCTCACCCGAGAGTAATGTTGTCCTCCAATTATGAAATTTCTGCATCTGCTTCAACATCAGAATCTTTTCTTGTCTAAAAATCATTTCCAGGGCCGTCTGACTACTAATGCGCCTGACGCGCTTGCTATCCATACTGTGGATAGTGCGCAAGGGGGAGACTGGTCTCCAGCTCGATGTGCTCTAAATATTCTGTCTGCCCAGCAACAAGGGTGGGTGTCGTCTTTCAAGGTGATCATAAAACATGCAAATAACCCTCATAACTGACAAGGAGACCAATAGGTTGTAAACATGGCACATTGGTCACACCAACAGGGGGGGGTTGCGGTGGTCCTGCATCAAAAATTTCTTCAGATTTGTGTTCTTCACACAAAATGAGGCAAGGGCTTCAAATTTCAGCCCAAAAAAATGTTTAGAAATATATTTTTTCTTAAGGTGAAAAATGAATCTGGGTCTGACAGGGCTGAACAGAACACAAAAACATGACTGTAATACTACTGAAATAAATATGTTGTTGACTCAGGACACCTTGTCAAATTCATATGACATATGTATTCTGTTTAGGAAAACAAGGTGATGTTCTTTGAGGTCAGTGCCTACACAGGCAAAAATGTGACGGTGTCCCTGACACACCTGGCCAGGTAAGAACAAAACAATGAATCATGTCAGTGTGTAAACTACTAACAACCCTACAGACACATTTTGCACAGCAGTCATCACACATATGCTTATTAATGAGGAGTACATGGCCTTTTGTACTTGAATCCTTTTATCAGGAAATTGATCAGTGTCCATGTTTTTCTCCCTCTTTACTCAAGAGTGCTAATGGAGCAGGAGGACAGAGTGAGACACACGGGAGTCATCCTCAATGCTCGGCCCACAAACAAGAAAGCCTGTTGCAAGTGAAGACACTGGACAAAACAAGCTGAAACCTTGGAAGAAATCTGCTTGTATACTCAGCTGACTGGGTGCTACCATAAATCACCTTTTCAAGAGAAAATTCATAACTATACAGTATTTTCATAGCTGAATGTTACATTTCTGGTGTAGTACATGATATGTTGTTAAAACTGAAATAATTATTTGAAATTCCTTAAATTAGTGGATTTAAATAAATCATGAAAAGTCTCATTTCTGTGACATTTTATTTATCATTACATTCAACTTTTTCATATTCTTTGTTCTTCTGATCTCCAAAATAAAGCTGGTCGTGACATATTGCATCAGTTTGTTGCTGTTCTGAGGCTGGCACCGAAGTACAGTTGTTAAATACAGTAAGACTTCATTTCATCTTTCTACAATTAATGAAGCAAAAACCTTTCACATGCAAATAAATAATGAAATAAAAACACAACAGGTTACTGTACCTTCTCTGCAATTATACACTGCATACTAAATTTTAACAAATGACTAAAGGAAAAAGTGGAGATGATGGTACTGTAACCATGTCGACAGCACACAGATCAATGCTCTCCAGTTAGGTGCACTAACAATATAAAGACTATAAATCATTACATTCCCAGAAACTGGTGAGAAGAAAATGAGAAAAGAAGTGCATTGAGGGTGTTACATTCAAAGATGTGCCTGGTTCGATCACGTTGGTACACATGGCACTATTGCTGATAGATATTCATCTATTCTGATGACATCTCATAGGTGCTTGGATGATAGCATCCAATCAGATACATCTGTTTTCCCTTGCTCGCCAAGAGGAATGCTTGTGGGAGAGGCTGTGCCCTCCCCCTCTCCACACGTGTCCAAAGGGGCTGAGGGTAGGTCCACACCAGGGCCTTGTTGTCCCTAACGCATTTTATAGTCATGTGAGATGGCAGCCTCACATAGTTGTCCTTTAAAGTCTAGCTCGAGGGTGAACTCCAGGTCACGCTACCAAAGATAAAACCAAGAAATTAATGGCAGAAATATCCATTTAGCCATTTAGATGTTCTTTTTGACTCCACTGCAATTATTTGAAAGCTTTACTTACTAGATACTTCACAGATTAAGATTTTACATACAACTCAAGCTAAGCTTGAGCTCATAAGCTCATTAAAACATTATGCTTTTTAATAAATTCAACTATTCAAGAGTATGTAACATTGTTAAAATTAGCCCAATTTTTTACCCACTGCAACAGTAAAATTTAATTTACAGATATCAAATAATGATAATGTATAATAGAATAATACAAGGCATTTTGGGACATATGCTTATTTCCTTTGTGGTAGAGAGCAACCATGTGTTAGAAATAAGGGCACAGCCAGCACATGCAGCAACATTTAGTACACAGCCTGGCTCGGTCTCTTATACTGCAGTATTGCTACTTTTACTTAAGTCTTACCACATTCTTCTCATTGGGCCGTACAGCAATACTGCCAAAGATCTCTTCTCCCTTCTTGACAGTTAGATAGTCCTCTAAATAAAAAACCGTCTGCTTCCAGTGTGTGCTGGGAGCATCTGGAGCTGAGGACAGGGGACAAGAAAGTGGATGTGTATATGTGCAGGAGCAGGACAGAAACAAGAAAAGGAATAAAAAATGATGCAGAGAGGAGAGGAGTGAGAAAATAAAAGATTTACACAACAGTTCTAATGGGCACTAAACTGCCTTGGGTATGTTAAAATGGAAGAAATATAACAGCAAAGCAGCTGAAATTGACTCACCCAGTGGGAGAAATACAGTGGTTCATAGGTGCTCAGCCTCATACCCAACAGACTCAGTTAAAAATAAAACCTCCCCTACACAATATTATGTAAGCACTGAATGCACAAATGGATTTACATAATCGTACACAACACCTTAGCTACTCTCTTTATTAGAAGTGTTCTCAACACTACGTTGCCAGGAGGGCTTGGTGGTCCTGGTTTAAACACTGGGCTGGCTCATGTAACTCCAGCAGAGTGTAGCCAAGAGCTAGGATGCTGAGGAGAAGCGCCCCAGCATCCTAGCAATAGACTGATTTACTGCTCAAAATACTTGTGCTCAAGAAATTTTTAAGCTTGTTGCAACTGACTGCAGGGTAGGACAGAATGTGAAATCTTAATTTACCTCCTGCCCTTTTTCTGTACCTTTATGTGCTCTTTTAAACACACTGACATTTCCTGGTCTCTTGAAAAAATTATGACATGAAAAGTTAGAGAATCAGATAACCCAAATAATGAAGAAAAAATGTTCTCACATCAGTTCTCAGATGCACTTGAGGATGTGACAGAATATTTGTGTAAGTGTGACCCTGTGAATGTTGTGTTTCTCTACAGTTGCAGGGAGGTTATGTTGTTGCAATGTCTGGTGCCTTGCAATGATGTGCTGAAAGACAGTTGTCCAATATATAGTCCAGTGCAGAGTTAGAGCCACTTCATGAACACAATACCTTACTGTACATCCACCTTTATATTTATGAAGGTGGTGGCAGAAATTCGATCTCTCAAAATGATTAACTGGTTGTCTAAATACTACTAGTCGTGGATAATGAGAAATATACTTTATAGTTTGGGTGAACTGAACCGTTACAGAAATGGGGGAAACAGGAATAGGAAATGATATGATTAGCCTCACCAGTAGAAAAGCCAGTCTTCTTGTGACACTTGGTGAACTCGATGTTGAAATAGGTGACAAGAGCATGGACATAGTCATTGCGTTGAATCTGCAGACAAAAGGCTGAGGTGAAGGACAGGTCCTCAGGCTTCACAGTGTAAATGTCCACTTCCTGGGGAAAAAAATAAAATAAAATAAAATAAACCAAAGGGTTTATATTATGTAGTTTTGCAAAAATGTTTTCACCCCCACTTCTTTCACACACATGCAGCACATGTATATGTCAGTTCTTCTTGATTATTCACCATGATTATTGTGTATGTGTGTGAAAGCCCACAGGTTGAATCACGGCTGGCAAACGAAGCCTGCTCGCAGTACACATGCTGTGTGGGTGTCCTCCCTCAAGTCTACAAGGGAGGGAGGTTTTGTGTGTGTGAGTGTGAGTGGGTTAACACAGCGTCTGTGTGTTTGCTTGTGTCTATACTGAGCACTGCCTCATGAATATGCCCACAAATTTAAGTTTCACATTTTGTTACCTGCCAGACATCACAGTGGGTCCAAAATGAGAGAGGAGCAGGCGCGTCTCAGCTTTCCACGCAGATGATGTTTTATTTAAGAGGACACACTGCAACCTGTTCCTCTTGCCTGGCCTACTGAGCTACAGATCATTTGGCAATGTAGTGTCAGCATGACAGATTGTGATTTAACACCTCTGTCCTTTCCCATGATAGCATACAGCAAATTGTAAGAGGGGAGAAAGAAATCCCTGGGAGTAATTTAGTAATTTTAGAGTGTGAGGAATTGAGTGGCAGGTTGAATATAAAGGGGGGGGGAGGGAGGTCACTGGCAGCAGTGGAACAGGATGAAAAAGCCTGGGATACATTCATGAGAAAGAAATATAGGCAAGGAAAATTAATTTTTAGATCAGCACGTCACTAACTAACAAGTAACCACCCACTAACATAACAAATAAGTCACCTTTTAGAACTCAAAGGAGGGCTAGTGCTAATCCGAATCATAGAAAGTCAATTTCACTCCCGCTAGTGACTCAGTGCCAGCTCTTGTGTGACATTTCACCTCCTATTTCAACTCCTATTCACTCAGGCCTGACATTGTTTAGATCAGAGAATGGGACAGAAGATGAAGCGAAGAAGAAGTGAGTGATTAAGAGGAACAAGTGAGAATTTAGACTTTAAATGATATGAGAAAGACATGAAAAGGAAGAGGAATGAAGATACAGATAGTCAAAGTAAAAAAATATGATATAAGGTAGAGAAAAGGAACAGTGAATGAGGAAAGAGGTCTGACAAAAAAGCTATCATCTCTTGGAATACGCTTATCCTCTGTTCATTTGTGAGATGAAAGACAAGCCACTGTTGTACTTCAACCATGGAAACAGAGCCGCAGACTATTACAGCTCCCCAGAAACCTCTATTATGTACTAGAAAATAGACTCAGGTGACGAGGAATGTTCAGAAACCTTTTTTTTAAGGAAGTCATGTACTTGTGGCAGAACACAAAAGCTGAAAAACTTTGTTTGGGTGTTTGCCTCAAACACATAGTTTTGTTGAGGTATCAAACAATATGGCATCAAAGACAAATGCTTGAGGTATGGTCACACTTCTTCATCATGCATGCATTTGTGCACAAGGACATACAGGCTAACCTTTAGGAGGCAGGCATTAGTCACCACCTGCTTGGGATCTACCACATCCACCAGGGGTTCTTTGATGGCCACGTTGCGAATGCAGCTCATGTCGAACCCATACACGTTTTCCCACCCTGTGCATACACAAATATAAACATCTAATGTGCAACACAAACACAGTATGCGCTTTCTGTTTCACTTGTAGAATCTTCTTCCACTTGCAAAGCTGTTTTCTCTCTGTTCCTGCCAAGATATCAGTGCAAAAAAAGGTAGCACAGAAAATAAAACAGAGTGCTTAACCCTGCCAGGAAGAGTAGATCTGCAGTCATGCTGTCTTTGTGTCTATCTAGGCTCTATGTGGAGAAAGACAAGTCCTCCTGAAAATACACTCCAACCTCCTCCACCTCCTCCATCATGTCTGGTAAGCTTTTTTTGTTTTAATTTGGCCTGAAAAAACACTAAGCAAGCCTTCCCTCCCCATCCCCTCTGTTCCTCCACTCCACCTTGCTTTGTCAGGTGGCCAAACACTAAGTCTGTATGGTGAGAAGGTGGAATATGCCTCCAATGCTGAGGGAAACTAAAAATAAGAGGTTTGGGCAGATTTAATTTCGGGGGGATTTATGGAAAGCATGAACCTTTATATGAATGCCTAGATATAATAGGACAGAGAAGGCCACCTGTGCAGTAATAGGAAACTCAGTAAAAGTTACCGACCCAAATTCTGTCTGTATTCGTGAGTGAAAGTCACCTTTAATTTTGTTCTTTTCATCTGGATCACAAGGTTAAGCTCAGTACTCCTGCTGGGACAGCTATTTGAATGCATGGAGTGAGTTCTGTGCAGAGAATGCACTGTAGCGTGAACTCACCTCACTGTTTTAAGCATCTATAATCAGGATTTTTGTAAAGGCAGTGGATCAAATGAGTGTGTGTAATGTAAAATGGGTAAAATCCACCTAACTCTGCAGTTTACCCAGGCTTTATGAAGCCTTTTAGCTTTTATTAGCACACTGTTTTGAGTGTTTTGTTTCAGCCTTACCATTCCCTTTAGTGTTGTTTCCAGCTACAGGCAGCTTCTTTCAGCAAAAAACTCCAAAATAAATGTGTTGTTTGTTTCCTGCCTAGCACCAAAAATTAGGCAACTATAGACGAAGCAGCTAAAGAGCTATTTCTATAAGCAGTTGATGGAGTTTAAGTGAGAGCTAAGAGGAAAGTGAATATTGGACTTATATTCATCAGGTAGACAGAAACTCAACTTCAAATAAATATTAAAGTTGGTCTGTGTCTGCTGGATCTGTATAGGCAACAGTTTGCTCACCTTCAGCATAACAAACCTATTAGTTACAGCTAATGAACCTTTTATAAAGTTTGATTTCTTAGAAATTGGAACCATGCTTCTTTACATATTGATTTCACTTCATTTGAATATTAATGGTGCACAGCTAAAAGGCAGACGAAGACAGAATAAGGCAATGACTTAGCAAAAACATGAAAGTGAACGGCAACAAATCTACCGTAACTACTCACAATGAATCTTGAAGTCCTTGTACTGCCTGTCTTCAATGGCTACCACGTAGAGAGCAGCTCTGTCAGGGAACATCAGGCCTCCAGGTTTCTGAACATGAGAAAAGCTTCACATATCAGTGCATTCACTACAGAGGCCATCCATCATTGTTACTGTTTACGCACCTGGTATGTAACAGAAGATCACATGCGCTGAGTTTAAAGCCTGCAGACAGCTACTGAACTTAGAAACCAGACTGAATGAATGACTTTAGCATCTGGGCAACAGATGCTTGCATGCAAGCGTACAATAAATCCTCTGCTTTATCACTATCAGGTGTGTTATACATTAAAAGCCTTATTTGTCCAGCTAGCCGCACACACAATAAACTCAACACCCAGCCCGAGCCTCCCACTGCACCATCATACCAGCCACTTGTCCCTGGCAAAGATGACAGTGTTGAGCATGGACTCGTAGAAAAGGCAGTAACCCATCCACTCTGAGATGATAATGTCCACCTTCTCCACAGGCAGCTCCACCTCCTCCACCTTGCCCTTGAAGATGGTAATGACTGTGGTCGGAAAAACCACAAAACAGCACACACCAAATTACTTTATAGCATATTCATCACATTAATGCTAATCAGACAGTGAGTCTGCAGATGACGCTGTATTTATGCCTTGGGACTGCTGTGAATTAGTACAGATTAATTACTGCATTAATCTTGTGCCTCAGTGTTTTATGCATTGCCTATTTTTGTCGGTGGCTGTGGCTCAGGAGGTAGAGCAGGTCGTTTCCTAACCGGAGGATTAGCGGTTCGATTCCCGGCTTGTCCAGTCAACATGTTGAGGTGTCCTTGAGCAAGACACTGAACCCCCAGTTGCTCCCGGTGATGTCACCGTTGTGTGAATGTGTGTGTGTGTTTGGGAGTGCAAATGGGTGAATGGCCGAATAATGTGAAAGCGCTTTGGGTGTGCTGTAAAGCATAGAAAGGTGCTATACAAGTATAAGACCATTTACCATTTTTTGTCTTAGTTCTGTTTTCCATTTTGGCTATAACATTTGACCCATAACAAGGGAGCTACAAGCAGATAGATTTTTAAAAGGAAAATTATGTATTGTCCAAGTGTGGGTAGAGAATTAAGCAGTATCACATTTGGTAATTTCACAATAATACACTAAAATAAACAGTGTAAGTATCTGTAAATGTGCAGAATAAGTGGAACTACAGCATATTTTTAAAAAATACTGGAATAACGTGATAAACTAAGAAAAGGAAAACTATGTCATTAGTATAAAAATAATGGTCTGCACATTGCAGAGTTGGCCCTTGAGTTCTATTTCCTGCATGCTTTACTAAGATCATCACCTAAATGCCCTGAATAGGATGAAACAAAGCCCAGCATAATGTCAAATGTGCAGGTTAGGAAAGTCACCATCTGTTACCAGTCCTCCATCTGTGAATTTCAGGGTGGCATTTTACACTCAGCCCCACACATTGACGGCAGAGATTATTTGACAGCAGAGATTAGCTGCCAGTTAACAATCAGAACTGTGAATAATATTGTTGGGTGTGACCGTAATGATGGTAATATTTTCATGCTACTTCTAATCCAGATGTCATCACACTGTTGTGCATTCACACAGATGGATGTGGGATATATAGCAGTATAGGAAAACCACTTCAACTTACCATTGTGTAGGTGGTTAGATTTGATAATCTTCTCTGAATATTCAGATATACTTGAGCATTCAATCTGTAGACACAAGGATCAAACCACAGACCTGGTTAAAGTGCCTCCTGAAACACATTTGTTACATTTTCATGGGATTACCCATTTTATTATTTGAACAAATCATAAAAACATTTTGACAGCACAGCGGAGCAGGGGTTAATGCTATCGCCTCACAGCAAGAAGGTTCCGGGTTTGAGCCCAGGCTGACCCAGTGCCTTTCTGTATGGAGTTTGCATGTTCTCCCTTTGCCTGGTCGGGTTCTCTCCGGGTACTCCGGCTTCTTCCCACAGTCCAAAGACATGCAGCTTAGGTTGATTGGTGACTCTAAATTGCCCCCAGGAGTGAGTGTGGGTGTGTGTGGGGTTGTTTGTCTACATGTCAGCCCTATGACAGACTGGTGACCTGTCCAGGGTGGACCCCGACTCTCGCCCAATGTCAGCTGAGATTTGCTTCAGGCCCCCAGCCTGAAGGATAAGTGGTATATATAATGGATGGATGGAGGGATGGATAAAAACATTTTATATTTCTTTAATGATTTTTGTGTCGATGGACATAACCAGCAGGGTGTTGGCTACCATGTTCCCACCGCATATAAAGTAGTTTCATCTTTGGGATCATATCAGAAGGACAAATTTAATCAAATCCTGCCAATCTATCTAAGCACTAATTTCACTTTGCCGAATAAGAACTAATGCATTATTTTATTCTCCCATCCATAAGTGTAATACAGTATATTACACTGCGGGTTAAGTATAACCTGTGACTTGCAGCCCTGCCCTAAGGGGAGTCATATGTCTCTTATTGCGTCTGTGGGTAAGATTATCTGAGAGAGATTAGCCATTTCTGGAATACAATAGTGACTGGCTCTTAAGCGGAATTTTAAAAAGATAGGGTATGCGTATGCGTGTGTGCATGTACACATGAAGAAGGAAAGGCCAGATATGATATAGAATGACACTGAATGGGTGTGTGGCTTTTTTGTGTCATAAACAAAAACAAAGAGAAGAAAGGGATGTTAGATAATCACAGTGAAGTGTTTGTTTGTGGTCAAAGGGTGCATCTACAGTGTCTGTCTCACCCCGTACACGTGTTTGGCGCCAGCATTGGCAGCAAACATAGAAAGGATCCCTGTGCCACTACCAACATCCAGGACGATTTTATCCTTGAACACATGTTTGTTGTGGTACATGGCGTTCCGGTAGGTCAGCGTCCGCACCTCATCTTTCAGCATCTCCTGTTCAAATTGGAGACAAAACTGAAATTTCAAAGCTGTGGTAAATAATGAAATATTCAGTCTTGAATCACATGCAAACCGCAAGAATCTCTTCTGGATTGGTGTAAACTACCAAAGGAGTAGTATGATTCATAAAAACATTCCAATGACTACATAATACACACAATATTACACATTATATTAAAACTGGGCTTTTGCATACCTTCCTACACATGTGAACACAATATGTTTGCATTGAGATAGAATGAGATAGAAAAAGCATTTAGGCCAAAAGCTTCTGTGACAGTGGCAGAGCTCCTTGAAATAGACAGGAGTACAACATAAAGCCTTTGGGGACCGCCTGATATCCATCTCCTGGAACCCATTCACACATCCCACTTTCCTTTTTTCCCGCTTTGCGCTCCTCTAATCAGGACATTCTCTTTGTCTGTAAGCAGACAAAAACCTGACCCACATGCTAAATATGGACACTATTTAAAAAGGTCTATATGTCCCCAAAACTTTTCCATCATCACCTTTTCACACATCAAGGTCATTGCCTAGGGTCTAGCCCTACAATTCTATTTAGCAGTTCTCTGTAGATGACTGTAAAATACAGAGTTTTCATTTATAGAGTGCTGTCAAGACTTACAGTGCATCTGATGTCTCTAGTGTTAGTATGGTAATGGAAAAGCCTCCTTTTTTGTCAGCTAAGAGACACTCACCACCACTGCAGACAGATCAGCAACTTTCCATTTCCCTATGGTGCCATTCTTAAACCTTAACTTTTGGTGGGGAGACAGTTGTCTCTGAGGTTAATGCTTGGAGATTTGAAGTGGGGGAATAATTGGGTTATATTTTAATATCATAATGATGTGCATTTGTTTTACTAGATGTGCATTAAGGAGCTTTAAACGTTACACTTAAGGCAATGTCTGAGTTATTGTTCTTTTGGTTTTATACTTTTGAAAGCAGTGGAGGACCTAAGACTATTCTTACCCTGTTTTGTTACTTTGCCAGCATTATTTTGTTGTTTTTAGCACTTAAACTTGGCTTTTACACTGTTAGCTTACAAATCTTTTTTAGGCCCAATTAACTAAGGATTTGGAATCCAATGTCTCTGCAGTAGATTCTCAGTTATGGCTAAAAATATCATCCATGGCAAATAGAAGGTTTGGATCAAAATCAAAGCATATCTGTTCATGAAAATCTCTTGGTGTTAAATCAGCTGAAGTTTCTGACACATCCTGCTGACAGAAAGTCAGATTAACAGCGCTGAAACTTCCTGGCAAGTTAAGAAGTGTTGGGTTAGACAGAACAGAGAGCATCTGGTGTCATTCTTTTTCTCAAACCATAACAAGCTGCTGCTTGTCACCCTGCCTGCCTACCTCGTGGATGCCAAAGTGGGCATAAGAGTCAAAATAGTAGTCCCGGGATGTCATTTCCTCTGGGCTGATGAACTTGGCAATCTTGCCTGGACCAGGACAGGTGGCCAGGGCTGCTACATGGGGCGTATGGGGGACACGGGGCACATAGTGGGAAGTAGGCACTGGTTTAGGCAGTGGAGAGGGCTGGGCAGACTGAGAGAGGGGGGATGTGACAGGCTGTTGCTGCTGTTATGGAGAAAGTAAAGGGGAGAGTTTGTATCAGAAATAAGAAATTACAAACAAACAAACAAAAAAAAAACAATCTAAAAACAATGAAACTGTATTTCATGGAAGACAATTACAGAACTGCAAGGGTCGTTTTGAATGAGTTCAGATGCCTTTGCCTTCACACGGAGCATATAGGAGCAGAATTAAATGCAAGGCGAAAGGGAAGCACATTATAATAAGCTGTCAAAAATCCACAAAAGCATATAGCCTCTGTAGTTACACAGACAGGAGACATGCTACGGGCTAGTAGTGATATAATCAAAGAAGAGCCGGCAAAAGATGCAGGTTCCTTTTCAGAACCAAGGACAGCGAACAGCGTCCGTGTAGATCCTCCATGCATTGTCATGCGACTATAGATCACCCATTAACATCTGCAGGACACTGGCAAATGCACTTTTCTTTGCCAGCACGCCATCAGTGCAGCACTGGTCCTAAATGTAATTGGGATCATGGATAACACAAATATAAAATTCAAGTCAAATGTATTGTCACCATAGAAATAGCCAGGCGGAGAGTGCCCCGGTCCCGCTACTACCGGGTGCAGGACACCACAAGGTCCCTACCTCCGAGCTGTCCGCCTCCGCCATCTTCCGCCGTAGCAGCAAACAACGCGACGAATGCCTCAGTCCCATGAGAACCGACGAGATTTAGGTTGCAACTCTTTTAAGTATTTGTAGGGTCAGGATTCTTAATAGAAACGTGTAGAAATTAACACTAAGCCACCGAATATACGGCTTGAATACATGTAAAGACGAACGTCATATTAAGAAACATCTATAACAATTTCGATCAAATTAAATCAAAGTCTCCAGAAAAGTTGTTAAATGGATTTGCACGAGGTGAAACGTCCAGTAATCCATACTGTAAATGTGGTACAGGTTGTTTTAGTGGGAGGACTCGGGATGGCTGAGCAGTCTATTGGCTGGAGAGCCGTGTCGCGACTGAAAGGTTGCTGGTTTGATCCCAGCAGGAGTCTCCATTAACACCCGCGCATCGCGTTTTGGTGTCCTCCTGCAAGACACTGAACCTCCATCTCTTGCTCATTTTAAATCTTTGGGTGGGCGTATCCGAGAAAATATCAAGTGTCTCCCACGACCAAAAATGCATCCAGCTGCGCACTAGAAGCAGAAAGTCCACACTGCTGCTGCTGCCTGCTCTTCTACTTCACCGCGTGGAGACACTTCTCTCAACACTGCAACTCGCAGTCGCTCGGTTCTGTGCGTTGTGGAGAGTAATGTGAATAATCCCGCTGGTTTCCCTGAGAGAAAGTTACAGACTGTGAGTGTGCACTGCTGTTCAGACGAGCCCCACGACATGAAATGAATCGTGACTAAAATATAATAAGTAACTGCCTCCTAAAGACAGATGCCTCCTCAATCAAGACTTCCCACAGAAACAGAAACACTGGCTCCGTGGCAACCAAACAGCTTGTCTTTCGCTTGCATATATTCCTACGTGTGTGTGAATAACTGGAAAGACATAAAGGCTAGCATAGACTACAATATATTCATTTTGGCCATTTAGGAACACCCTTTCCTGAACAAATCATCTCATTGTTACGTTAAATTAAATGGCAGGTGTGCAACATAAGCTTAACAATAGTTACCTTTTAGCAGCTTAGATCCCCAATATGGACATATAACGATATAATAGATGATAAATCAGCTGTTTCCCATTCTTTAAAAAAAAAAGATATATGGCATATTTTTGTTATAGGCTAATATGCATAAAAAGACACAAAGCAAAACCAAAACAAGTACCTGTAGGCTGCTTATTTCCATTTAGGCTATTTTATACACCTACATTTCATTTGGAAAGAATATACATTTTCCTCCATTGCATTTACTGTATATAATACACTTCTTTTTACAAGTTACAGTACCTTTAAAATTAGCATTAGTTTATTTTTATTTTACATTTATTTTACCAGGAAAACCTCATTGAGATTAAAAAATCTCTTTATCAAGTGTCCTGGCCAAGACAAGCAACATCATCAAACATGACAAACAACACAGATACAAACAATACACATAAATCCATAACACTCTCTCATTAGTCAAGCAAGCAATTGATAATAAAATTAAATCAAAACCCGTAAAAATATTAAGTCTGACACATTATTTTAAAGCATTAAAACTATAGAATTAAACACCCTGACAGTGGATGTATTTTTTGACAAAATTACCCAACAAATTAAGCAGCTCCACTTTGATGTTGCTAATATTTCTGTATTTTTACCTACAGTGCACAAAATTGTAAATGCAGAGCTTTAGTTTGTAATGTAGTCTTTGGTGTGTTATTGGTTCACCACTCTGTGTAGCCCAGTCTTAATGAACATATTGTTCCCACTGATTCCCCAAAAGCTGAAAAATATCTTTGGTGTGAGTCAATGCTCACACTAATGACAGAAAAGTTCAAAATCATATTTCAAAATACTATTATAAAAACAAATCATACACTCTGTGTAATGCATTGAGAGCTTTTGGAGGCTATCACGGCGAAAACTCTATCTGCACGTGTCTCTGTGGATTGAAATGTTCAAGCATGTTGCCTTCTTCCCATTCAGCCACAGCAGGTGCTGCTAGGTGGCTACTAAAGGCAAAACACCTGCTGTGTCATCACTGATTGTGGTGCAGCTACAGGCACAACAAGCTTGAACCTGGAAACCATAGAAAGCACAATGATTGGCCACTTTTCCTAAAGGGCTTCCAGTACTCATTGTTCTCAGATGATGATCTTTTAGGTATCAAATTTTCCATTTTGCTTCCATTGTAGAGCACATTCACTCATGTTTACCACATGTATGAACAAACCTAAAATCAACCTATTCTATTTTCTATCTGATTCTAAAGCCGACCCTCATCCGTCTGGTAATCAGAGATACCACTGAAAGAAAAGAGGACCGTCTCAAACTGAAGACATGATGGAAACCTGTTGAAGGACTTTTCTATTTCAGAAGCAGATTTCTGACTGCTGTAATATTAATGCAATTTAAATTCAACACGGATTTCAGCAGAACATATCGCCTTCCTCCTGAAAAATATATCAAAAAAACATTTCTACTTCATAATGTTTGTGCTTCATACTGCATCTTTGCTGCTTTCATTATTTACTCATTTCATACTCTCTCAGAGTCAGTAGTAACCTGCTTTGAAAAATATTACAAGATAATTCTCCCATTAAACACAACAAAGCACACCAGGTTTCAGTCACTGTTATGGATGGGCTTCATCAGTGGTGCTTAAGAACATCGGCCCACGCATCACACTTGAGGATAATGTGTGCATCCACTCTTTCACAAACACACATAAATCAGTGTGGGTGCAAGAGCACACAGGAGTCAGGAGTGAAAGCAGTGGGAAGACTATTGATCGACTTACAAGGCCCACAAAGCTGATAACATGACACAAACATAAGCTATTGCGGTAAGCTCCATTGTAAACCTAATTTGTTTAAAAACTGCAAACAGGGCTCACTGAGATTTATTTTGGTGGGGATATTGACATAAAAGTAATCCCCTCAACAGCTGCCCTTGTACAAAACATTATCTGTTAAATGCTATCTAGTTCAAAAGTGATGATCATGGCTGAGCACAGGGAGGGATTCAGGGTTCTCTTTCCTGGCCTATGTAACAGTTTACGAATTACACATTTAAAAATCCAAACAACTCTGGAATTAAACATTCAATAGTTGTTCGGATGGTTCACAACTATGAGCATAATATTGTGACAATTGTAAGGATGACACTAGGAAATCAGTCTAGATGTGTTGTTTATTCAGTCCTGTCAGTTGCACAGCAGTGTTTCATTTCCAGCCATTTTCAGTGATAACACTTTCTTTCCATACATCTCAATCTGATAGAACATAGCCAGTGTAGTGGTTGTATAGACATGTCTTGATTTGAAAGGTCAAACACATCTGACATGACACTTCTGTTATGGTTTAGTCCCCCTCACCAGGAGGGTGAGGGAGAACTGAAGGTAGGACTCAAGAATGCAGACCCAGGTGCTAGTAAGAAAAGGTGGTTTAATGGAAAAAAAAACACAAACAAGGTAACAAAGTCAATGTATAGTACAGTTACCAGGGTAGGGCAGGGATGGCTGAGGAGACTAGGACGAGCAGATGAGTAGGAGGATTTCAGGAAACAGAAGAGTAGAGGACCAGGACAAGGCAGGTGAGTAGACAGGAGAATGACGACAGGAGAGATGACAGGAGGTCCGCTACCTGACAATCAAGAGTCTGTATAAATTCAGCCAACCACATATCCAGGTCCATCTTTCAAAGGCCAATCACATGCCAGAGTCCATGTTCGAGTGGCTCCCCAACTCAATGGCCAAACTGTTGCTGTCTGGTTGAGACCATTTTTGTCAGGCTGTGTGATATTCACAGAAGCCCTAAAAAGCAAGTAAAGAGCAGCCTGTCAAGGTGGTCTCTAATTTTGCAAGACTATCGAAAGATCAGGCAGCTAATTTTGGGCAACGGCATTGTAATGTCACAAACTACCCTTCAGCTGGTTGAGGTAAACCAGACCACTTTGATCCAGTGGCATAATCAACGGCTGAAGGGACAGGAGGTGACAATACTTCTGCAAGGTGTTCACCTTCCTGAAGCACAGCCAGTGGCAGGTGAGCCTCTACCAGCAGCAAAGCTACAGCCAAAGACTCCTCCCCAGTACCCCCATCAGCTGCACACATATTTCATGCCACCAAATACAGCTGGACAGGCAAAAACAAAGTGTCGGCGACTCCAACCATCAGCCACTTTCATTCAGCCATCATCATCCCACCTTCAGGCTCATGCTTTCCAAATCAGTCCTGGTCATTCCTTTCAGCCTTTAGCTTCTTCCTCTCAAGAGGGTACAAAGGAGAAGTTGAGGGTTATTTACCCCAAGCCATTGGCAGCAATGCCCTCCTGTCCCATTCCTCTACCCAGTGACATCAGCCCTCTTGGTACTGTCTTTTCACCAAGTTCAACCCCTGTCATCATTCCACTTGCCACTGAAAGCATCAGTAGTGACACGACTAGACCCGCAAAACGAAAGTACAATCGAAGTGTCACATTTAACACTTGCAGGAAATGTGGCCAGTTTCGCACGGAAGCAGCGGGTCATAGTCAATATAAGGGAAAAATATACTGCCCCAAATCAGA